TGCTGTCAGTAAAAAAAAAAATCCAGGACATACATTGTATTTGACAGTGGTCCCTAACACTCGGTCATTCACTGGACCGCTATGGAAAGAATCCTTTAGTTTGATCTCTCCGTAGACCACCGTCCATGCACTAAGTTAACTAAAATTATCAAGCTCGATCTTTAAAATGTCTGGGACAAAACTATCTTAACTAATGCACATGTAAGAATATCATAAACAACTTATTAAACCCATGTGTCGCCGAGGTGTTGCTTAGGTCTCACTTGGTTACGTCAGTCTGTGTTTAAGCTTCCACAGGTTGGACTTCCTCCTGAATCCACACGTAGCAGTGATTTAATTAAAAGTGTGCTTTAAGAGGATGTCCCTGTGAGATCGAAGGTCAACTCAATAATCCCCCGACAGAGTCAACAGGCCTGAAATTTCAATTCCAGCTTTTTTTTTACGGCAAGCAATTAGCGCTAAATTGAACACCCTGGACACATGAGACGAGAGCTCTCCAGTCCAGTTGTGGAAAGGCAGTGAGCATGCAGGGTATATTGACTATGTTTTAATTATTTGGATGGTGTTTTTGATGAGGTTAAGAGCAAATGAGGAAGGTGAATTTCACTCAGCACGTTTTAAATAAGATAAAATACTTTTATCATCTTTATTCATCTCACAATGTAAAAATGCACATGTCATATTTGGCAAAGATAGAATCATTTAAATGTGCAAAAGACAGAAGTGTGAAAAAATGTTTAGGTTAAATATAGTCTGTGCAGGATATATTATATACAATAAAAAGTGCCGATAGCAGTGCTGGTTTATTCAGTCCTAGTGCAGGTCATTAGTGACTTAAAGTAAAACATGCTGAATGAAACTGTCTTGGTCAGACAGTTTCTGAACAAGTTTCGGCCGAAAGGAGAAGAAAAGAAATGAAACTAAACTAATATTCAAGATGTATGATGCTGTAAAAAAGTGTGATGCTGTCAAGGATTGCGATACTGCTATAAAGCAGAAAGACTGTGTAACGGTGAGTTGAAAGTCGATGTGACACCGCAGCACGGGGCAGTCAGCGTGAATTGAAAAGCCAACCTGGGAATTTTGGTAATGTTTTAACGATCCAAGATTTTTTCAAATACATAGCTATACCGGCCACACACTTTAAAGCAGGCATATAATGCAAATAATACAAAAAAAAAATTTAAACAGTTTCCTGCCTTACAAAACAAAAAATACTGCCCCCAAAGAATCTATACCCAATTTATTTTCGAATTAGTTCATAAAAATGCGCAAGTTGTATTAAAATCTGTAACTTAATTGAAAACTTGAGCTTATTGATTCAGTTTGTGTCTGAATTCAGGTCATAAAAAGTGCTGAGTAGAAACTTAGCGTGACGCTCGTTCTCCTCCAATCACAGAACGAGGAGCGGCGCAGTTACGAACAGGCCATGCCTCCTCTGGCATCTACAGCGCAGGTAAACACAGCAGCGTGGAGGCAGAGAGTGGCTATTCCTCAACTGGCTGTAACTGCAGACACAGCAAAACAGTCCAAACGACGCAACAGTGAGGAAGAAAAGAGGGAACTAAGGCTATATCCACACGAAGACAAAACGCTTATAATTTCAGAAACTTTTTCTGTAAACACGGAGTTAGCTCAGTAAATGTGTGCGTCCATATGAATGTAGTCAATACGCCTGAAAACGCTGTGGAACTATGCCAGACCTGTTGGTGGCGCTGTGACGCAATGACGGGATCAAGCCCAAACTTCCGTGACGGGAACTGGGCATGCGCAGAATTTTGTAAACAGACAACATGGCGAGTGGGCGAGCTGGTACTACATTAGTATGGACGGACGATGAGGTTGAACTGTCGCTTCGGGTCACACTGGATTACAAAACCAACAAGCTACATTGTTGTTGTCATTATTTTCGGAGTGCGGCGCATGCGTGCTTTAACAAGAGGCGGGGCGATGACGCAAGCGTCTCAGATACATTGCGGAGAGGCAGTAACCACGGAGCGGCATATACGGAGTTTTGAAATCTTTCCACTCTGGGACCTACTTTCAAAAATGTTCGTTTACACCCCCCCAAAACGCTGGCCTCGTATGGACGATACACTGGATTGATAAAGTATTTTTGCGTTTAGGCCTGAGCTTGACTTCGTGTGGACAGGGCCTAAAGCAAAATAATGATCAAAGAAGAAATCAAGCCCGGGTGAACATAACTAGCTTACATCGTATCTTCTGGAGAGACCTGCGGGTGCGGGACCGCCTCTGACTATCTATGCTCAGACTACATTTGGATGCAAAACTAGCGGTAATCTTTCAGTTATATATTTTGTTAGCAGTGCATTGCTTTTGTACCATTTCATCAGTGATTGTTGTACAGCTTACAAGAAGTTGAGCTAAAGCTAATGTTTGCATATAGATCGCAAATAAAACTAGATGGCTCCGTGGGAGAAGAGTGTAGGGAAATGAGAAGCCTGTGAGCGAGTTGGGGGGCGGTGCTAAACATTCAAACTAAAAAAACATACAGAATCGGGTATAGCTCCTTTAAAAGGAGTCTTGGCAATGTATTAAGTGAAATGGGGTTCTTTACAATTGCATGGCTATGCCTGCAGACGGTAATTGTCGAAAGTATTACAAAAGCAAACCAAATCAAAAGCTTGAAAAGACAAAGAAAAGAGTCTCATTATAATTTTAGCACTATATAAAGACAGTCTTTAGCAATGTTATGTTGAACTCTCTCAACTTTATCAGGAACATCTAGAGTCAGTAACATGCACTGCTGTCTCTATTTGCTCATTCTAGTGATTCGATCCATTTCTATTGAATCCACGCAACGAGATAAGGAGCTATCAGAGCCCAGCTAATCTGATCCGGGCTTAGGCCTCATTGCCACACTGTCAACATACTGATTATTACTGCCACTGAGCGTGGCGTGTGCCAGCTGGATGCCGACCAGTGGCCGCACACACGTGGTCATCGCCACAGAGGGTCCTCTCACCAACCTGCACATTGTTATGTAATACAGCCATTTGTCATGACTTTGGGACTGTGCTGCTGCCGACCAGAAAGTCGAGTTTAAAAATCATTTTGCCATTAAATTTTCTATTAGACACAAGCATCAAATATCAGAGGGCTAGAGGCTCACCAGTTATTCTGTTATACTGTAGATATTGTAGCAATTGATTAATTGTAAACTGATTTTTACACAGACCTTAACACATGCATTTGTTGTATTCATGAATTATATAATCAACCAGAACACACCATACACATAAAATTACAAACAAAAAGTGGACCTTGACTATACAGCTTTCAAGTGACATATGTTTTCACTGAGACAACTGTTGTAAAACATAAAGTCCAACCACTAATGCCTTTTTTCTGTGAATTAGCCAATCAATACAAACTGGGTCAGTGCTGCTAAAGTAATTAATGTCAGTGTCAGGTCCAACGCTGGACCAGTGGGACAGCCCATTGATTATAAGGTGTTTTTAGGATGACATCTTAAAGCTGTCAACAGAACAGTTTCCAGATATTCGCGTCCACAGGGTCACTGGCAGACTACTCTATTCTGGCTTCTGGTTTATCAACGAAGAAGACAGAATTACCTCAGGAGGGTAAATGGGCTGATCAGGGCAAACATGAGGTTTAAATGTGAATGCATCAATTGACAGTGTTTCAAAGAGTTTACAGGACATATGCTTCAGGAACAGTTTATAGAGTTAGCATGTGTATTGTCAATGGAAGACGTGACCAACTTCTGCAACATCGTAAAAATAGGAGAGATTGCATTTTCTGAAATCGATGCGTTTAGGACGTGCTGTTACCTACACACTCATCTGCAATTCTCTGGGAAGCAAGCCGTTGTCATTCTCTTTCCAGAGGGTTAGGTGGCTCCATATTAGCCACATTACGGGGAAAGCATTGGTGGCTGCTGCTTGTTGCTGTGTATGTAGAAGTTTGGTCTTCCTAATTATTCCCCACATACAGTTTTAATACACGTCTTTGTCCTTGTCTGAGTAAGGTGTATGTAATAAGGTGTTGGGGAAAAACAGTCCAGGTAGTGTTGAATTGAAAAATAGTGTTGAAGAAAAGTGTAAAGAATTGGCCAATCTCAACTACCAAAACATATATTAATATACGTCGACTCTTACTCAATATGAGGGTGCCTTTTTGGTGTATTTTTCCACAGATTCCCCAACCCTTGTTTCAAATATGCTTTTGATGAGGGAACAATGTTGATTAAAACCTCAGACAAGATTTCCATTCTCAATAACCTTCTCACGCAGTACGCAGATGGCAAGATCCCTCATGGCTAAATCTGGCATATTATTTATATTTGTACATATTGTGTATATATATATATATATATATATATATAAATCATGGGCACTGTCCAATTAGAATTAACATAGTTTCATGGCAGAAATGTTTAGAATGAGTGTGATTACAGCTCTGTGACAAATTAAAACAACTCAGAAGGTAACAAATAATGTTTTCTTTCAAATATACTGCCAATAACAAACAGCTCAATGACTGTAGCTCAAGGAATACAACTTTTTAACATATTTCTAAAAAATATTGATAACATCTTGTATTACAGTGTCATTTCTACATCCCACGTTGAAGTCCACCACGGCTCATTAGCTACTGCAGTGAAACGTGAGAGGTAAAGTTGATCTGAACCTTCGAGGACCAACTATGACTACTTACTGTACGTCGTGTACACTTGACTAAAGCGTGCAGTTAACCAAACGTATTATTTCCAGTATAACTTTATGATACTGAAAATACCATTTAAGCCAGTTTTGATATATAAATATATATACACATCTTTAGACCATCTTAAGAACATCTCTCCAATAGAAAAGTGGAATGAGAGGACCAACTAATCAGCTCTCAGTCACAGCAGGTTATGGCCTGTTTTGTTCTGGTTTTACTTTTACAAGACCTTAAAAAACAACATGGAACCATAGACTGTAATGAAACTTGTAACCACAGTAGCACCTCACCTCTTTGTCCCTCTCGATCTCAAGTCCCGCCTCCATCAGCGTCGCTTCAAACTCCAGCCTGATCTGCCTCATTTCGTGGTCCAAGGGGTCCATACTTTCACGGCTCTCTCCTCCAGCCCCCAGCTCCATCAGCACCTCCCCCACACTGACAGGAGGACCCCCAGGCACCCGTCTGCCACTCCTCTCCGCCCCGTCTGTGCCCACGGATGAGGGGAAGTTCCCGTTGGAGACCACGGAGAGCTGCTCGTGTGTGGCAGAGGTGGATGCACGTATGGAGCCGTGTCTCCTGTGGTGGAAAACTAAAACATAGTCCACTTTACGCTGGCCATCCGAGAAGAAAAGACCCTCCTTGCTGTTGCCAAGGCTCTCGGGCGAACCCACCACCTGCAGGAGAGGAAAAACAAAGATCTTAGATAGTGATCAATTTAGGGTCATCAAATGAACTGATATTTATCGAACAAATGTACTTTAAGTATATGTTTTTTTTCTATGGGTTCTGGGCCTGTAATAACTATGATTATGATATTTACTTACTTTGTCCTTTCCATAGATGGGTTTCGGTTAAGGAATCTCACACGGGCCTATCCCTACATACATTCATTGCATAATATTTATTTGTTCTGACTATAAATGCCATTTACATAATGAGATATAAAGTGAATTTGCTAAATATTTAATAGGGATGCATAGATCCAGTCTGATATCATTCACACTGCTTTCAACATCTGTAGATATCTGATATGAACAGAACTGAAAATAGCCATGTGTCTCTCTCAAAATGCGGCTGACGTATGACATGAGTCCTTGTTTTGTTTTTTTTCTTTAGAGAGTTATTTTTCTTGCATTTGTTATAATGATGATAATTGGCTAACAGCTTGTAAAAACTCCAAATAAAACAAATCAGAAGATTAATTTTTTTGAAAATTGACTGTATTCATTAAAAAGATAATAAACAAAAGCCAGACACATGTCACTTTGCGTCTAATGAGTCTACCTCATACATTGGTTCTACATTTTAGAAAATTAATTACATTATTTTATATTCCAATTTTCTGTAACGTGAAAGCTTGTATATAACATGTACGCAAGCGATATCTTTGCAATCTAAAGAGCAGTTCCTTCTAAGCTTGGACTGAAAGTGGCATTTAGGTCTTTCAAAAATACAATAAAAGTCTTCAGCGGCAGAGTGGGCAGCAGGTTCACCCCTGACACTTACAGTCTTTATTTAGACAAAGAGAGAGGAGCCTAAACACTAGCGCTCTCAAATTCAACACATCCTGTTCAAACTACCATCGCTATTGTACGCTTATACATTCTGTGTCATAATGTGCACCAGTTCTTTACAGAGCATTTCATTATTATAGATAATTGTGGAGAAGAAACCACCTGTAGCTCCCAGGCTGTTATGACTGAGTCAGAGACTGGGAAAACCATTCAAAGTGTTGCTATGGAAGCACATTCAAGCAACCATTTTACATCTCTTCTTGTGTAATGATGAGAATAATAGGTTTGAGCCAAGGTCGACCCAATTTTAGCATAGTTTGGTTGGGTATAATTCAGGTTTTAGTCCCATCTCTAAAGAAGTCTGGGCAAGAGAGAACAGGCCAGCCTTCAAATGTAACTACCTCTGTGACAAACTGTATTGTTTAAATGGGTTAAGCCTCCAATATACTAGCACACTCTTATTTTCTGTTTTGTTAATGATGTTTTTCAGAACATCGCTATTTTGTTTGACATTGTGCAGACATGCCCCCTTAAGCACAAACAGTTTAATCACTTTAAATTGTTTGAACATCAATCCCCCAAATGTAGATAAATCCTATTATTATTTGTCTTATTATGGTTTTAGAGCTGTGCTGGCTCAAGCCCGTTGGATCACAATGTAATAAATGTCTATCTAATCATACTTGGCTTTAATAACTGATCAAATTTGCAATAACAAACATGTTTTAAGTAAGTAACCCCAAACATACCAATATAATCAGCACAGCATTCTCATAGAATACATGACATTTGTGACCAATAGCCTACAATGGAAACACTGTCAGAAGTTGAACTTAAGACATAAACTGAGAAGTACTAAATATAAGAAGTTGCTCTATAATTATTGAGGCATTTAGCCAATGGTATAAGATTAGAAAATTAAAAGAAAGAAAAAATATATATATATATTTCTTTTAGAAAAATTAAGCTCATGTCTTTTTAGTGTGTAATGAAGCAGAGTAAAAAAAACATGACTCGACATAATGGAGACATTTGCTGGTCCTGTGTTGATGATCCCCAGAATCTAGGTCCCGTGACGGCTGTAGTAATGGAAACGGAGTTCTTGGAAAGTGAGCACCAGGGACAGCTCCCTGTAGACTGCGCCTGAAAATGTTGAACCCACTAGCCCACTTTGTTTTCTTTAATAGGCGGCAGTTACATAGACCTTTTAAATTATATAACTATGGTTAAACAAGTTTTTTTAGTTTTTTGTTCAGCTATCTAAACTTGTCAAACAACGTGGCCAACACAAAGACAAGGAGCCTACTTACCGGTATCTTATCTTCACTGGGAGAGACCTGCATGTTGTTAGGCTTTGAAAAAAGCAAAAAGACAGAAAAGTACATCAAACTGTGCGTCTTGAGAAGAGTAGAAACATCGCCTAATCTTCATCTTCATCACTAACATTCCACGCGCAAACATGGGCTAAATCTCTCTTAACAATCCATGTGTGGAAAGGAACGGAGCGCATAAGGCGCGCATGGTTCGCCTCGCAGCGCCTTCATCACGCAGAGTTGGAGAAAAGCAGGATGCCGAGCTGTGAGTAGCGGAGGCGCTCTTCATCGCTCTTCATCGCTCTCCATCTCACTCCATGCATCCCACCGGAGACTGCGCGCGTCTCTGCCAGTGGGCGCGCAGATCCTCACTGTAAAAATGTGCCCAATCAAAAGTAAGACTTTCTATGAAGCCAGTGACACCCAACAGGCAATGACTCAATACAAATATGCTCAGTCTGATCGATAATAAGAAGTCTGGTCTCTACTCTCTTTTAAATTTATTACGTTTTTGTTTTGTTTCTTATTCCGACGGATCAAATTATTGTACAAGTACATAGATACAAGAGAGTTTTCCTTTCTTTTTCTTTTTTATTGACTGTTTGCCTAAGATTTTTTGTTCTTTTGTATGAAATTATACCAAGTTTGGGGAGCCATTGAAGATAACATTGACCAAATTTAAGGCGTACTTTGATCTTAAACAGAATGCTTTCATCTGTCAAATAGCATGTAGCGTTGTGATATGATATCTATATATATGAGAATTTTACAGTGCAAAGAGAGTGAGAGAGTGGGCAGTGCTGTTGCCTGTTAGAATCTTGACCACATCAGACTAGGGCTTTCCCAGTAGTGAGTCCAGATAGATGTTTTGTTTAAAATGATTATCATGTCTTTACGTCATGTTCATGAGTGAGGGAAAGATGGAGATGGTTAAACTGCTGCCCCCGCGACCCGACAATGGATGAAGCGGAAGAAAATGGATGGATAGATATGTCGTGTTCAGTTGTTCTCAATTGTGGCAAACTACATCATATTTTATTGATCCAGTATGGTGGCACCAACATTATACAGACAGGATAATGTTACAGAATACATATCTATAATTTATTTCTGTTTTGTCTCAAGGCTATGAGACAGAAACAGTCCTCTATTTTTTGGTCTCCTGGTTCCTTGTGTTGTTGTTCATTCTGGATTAGGTTGCATTCAGATTTGTTGGTTTGAATGTTTTCCTTTGTGCAGCTCAAGTGCAGATGGTCTGCGCAATGAGCAATGTGTTTCCTGTAAACTACTACAACCAGTGTTTTAATGAGAGTTCTCAACTTTCTGCACAGTCATAACTGATGCAATGTTTTGAAATGGCAAGATTTGTCCCCTTCATCTTTCAATTTTGGAACACTAATGAGACTAAGCCAAAATGTAAGTTTGTAGGGTACAATGCACGTTGGACACAGCAGAAATGTTATCAAATAGTGTTTTGTAATTAAAGCAGACTGATGAGGTAACATTCTAATCTATCCTTGGGTACAGTTACAAAGCAGGAAGAAATATGGCAACCGAAAACTCGGCTTTACATCCAAATCAGTCTGACCTCACTGGTCCCAGTCTACATGCGAGGCGCTTATGCGATGTCGCTGAGTAACTTATAACCAGGGGTGCACATAAGTGGTTCCCAGGGACGCATGCGCGACAAATATCAGAAATGCGTACTATCACTTGAGTTAGTAAGCTCCTTTGCGTACTTCATGTAACCAGGGTCATTTTATCGTCTCCGCTCCTCACCATTATTATTATGCACCGGTGGGTGTGTTGTTGTGGGGAAAGTCGGAACCGAGCAAGCTGCAGGTATTTTTTCCGCGATCTAACTTTGTTTCACAATATACAGTGGGTAACTGATATGCACCAGTTCATACAGAGGAACTGGTGAGTCAACCTGTTTGGTTCTGCACGAAGCTTGTTTGTTTTGTTTATTTGTTTTTTTATTTATTCATTTCAGGCATTTCACATGAGGCAGCAGTCACCTCTGGTTCATCATAGTTTCCAACAAAAAATAAAAATAAGTAAAGCATTGCTAACATGCATGAAAAAAAAATAATAACAAAATATTTGCCTGAAAGGGAGTAGGAAGAAGAAAACTTATTTAAGTGGAGTGGATTATCTGAGCTGATCTAAACTTTAGCATTAAAAAGAAGCTAGTATAAAACCTCCATTAAGAACCACGCAACAAATGGAGTGAGTACCAAACACCATGTCCTGGTACTCATCTGAGAACCTCACTGAAAAATGTATGTGCACTTCTGCTTATAACCAAAACTTTATTGTTTTGTACTGTACTGTGCTTTACTGTACTTGTATATAATGATATGATATTTACAGTTTAAGCACACGGTCAGCATACTGTTTGTAATCATGCAACATGTTGTTTATTTGGGCATTTTATTTTCACCTTCAGCAGAAATAACTTTGCAAAATGAAACAATGCAACACATGAAACGAGGAACTGTATACGCCAAAATGAGTGAGTAGTTTATCTGTAATACTAGCATGTTTTTATTTTTCTGCACTCTTCTGTGGACCTGGTCGCTCTGTCTCATTAGTGTCCGGTTTACATGCCAGCTTAAACAGAAACAGGTTCTCACGTGTCTTGCATAATCAATATAAATTGGACTTGGTGAGTTTTCTGGTTTTTACTGATAGTTTCTAAAACTTAATCAGTGAGCCTGGGGAAAATACCACTATTTTTTTCTTTCATGAAACAACCACAAATTACACTCATTGATTTTAGGATTACATTTCTATTGAACTCCGCTCAAAATCCTTCCCCTTCATGTGCAAACTTGGACCACTGCTTATACACTAAAACATCTGTGTTTACATCTAGAAGACTCTGCGCTTCCTCCATCCATGGCTCCTCCGTGTGTGAGGTTGGCTCCAGAACGCTGAAGGGCATGGGCTCCAGTCCCAGTCCAGAGAAGTCCCGGACCAAATGCAACAGACCATCGCTGTGAATGGAAGAGGACTCGCTCAGTGCTGTGGCGACTCGGGTGAAGCTTGAACAATTCGTCCGAGACTCTGCAGAAAATAAAGAGAAAGACTTAATTTCATCAGTTACTCTCTGGTAGGCATTGGGGAGACATGATAATGAATATGAGAATCATTCTGGACGGACACAAGGAACTGAAGTGATGCATTGGGGAAAGTGAATATTTTTGGACTTAGTGCCATGTGCACTGCAGATGTAAAACACAGCCTCTCTGTCCTGAGTCACCACACTCTCAGTCTTTCTGTTTCAATGCACCTGAAGTGCAGTGTTGGGGAGAAAGGAAATGCATGCAACGCCGTTACGCATTCAACATACTCTTTTATTACTTTAATGTCTTGTGTTTAGAATACAGTTACTTTCTGAAAATCATGGGAATGCATGCTCTCTCATATCAAGTTTCTAAGGTAAAAATAAAAACAACAAAGTAAACGTTGCGTCCACGCATCCAACAAGTCCAGGTGAACGGCAGCAAGCGCATGGAGGAGACTGTGGTTTAAAAACATGGAGGAGTCAGACTTGGAATCAGAGACCACATCATCAGTGCACAGGACACGGAAACAACGCAAGTTGCCAATGGTTTTGTTCATGAGGGAAGTCAGAAAAGGCATTTATCCAATAAATAAATTCTAAGTGTACGGAATACATTTTTGGTCATGTATTCAGTATTCTGTAATGGAATACATTTTCAAAGTGTTTTTCCCAACGCTTTGTAAGAGTAATACTGCAATATACTTTAACTCATGCTGTGTTTAATAATAAGTGTAGGAATGAAGAATACAGTCATTGTCACAGACTGACCTTGAAGTTCACATTGCTCATTTGTAGAGTCCCTTGTGGTGGTTTTGCATGAGTAAAGAGTTCCCTGTTGCCCATAATGCCAGAAACATGAAGCCTTAATATGCCTCTAAAATTAGACAACTTTTGCCTTGTACGTTATATCTAATTGCATCATACAATCTGCTGCCATCTTTCGTGGATTTCGCTGTGGGTGACCACTTCGTTATTCAGATTTCTTTGTGATGAAAATGCTCATTACTTAAACCCCAATTTAAGACTTGGTGAAGATTCTACTGAAAATTAGATAACTCTACTATGGATCGGCAGTATTACTGTGGTTATATTTCAAGGTAATGAAACTTTGAATGTAACTGGAGAACTCACAAACCCAAATGTTAGACTCATTCTGCTCTCTCACGAGATGAACTGCTTGCCATGTCTATTGTATATTTTAGATATAATAACTCCACTTCAAGCTTTTATTCAGAAAGGCCAAATATGATTAGCACATGTTGACCTACTATCTTGGACAAATACAAAAAGATGTAGATGTAATTTTAAATACAAAATATGATATACTGTGGCATATAGCCTGATCCTCATACATGTCTGCATTAGGATATGTGTCTCTAATTGTTTCTATATGACATCCACTTTAGAGAACATCAGAGAACATTTAGTTGGACCAAAGTGGGGACAGTAGGGTCATTGTCGCAGTGCACAAAGTAGCACTCAAAACTAGGTAAAGCTTTAAGTATAGCATTTGTCAAATCTTAATTTTACACTTTTTTTATTTGGCCGAAATCCTTGGGGGGAGATAAGTATAGGATCAAACAAGACATGATAAAACTAAGTCAAACTAGTTAGAAGATGCAGTATTTGTATCTGTATTTATTTGTTTATTTGGAGGGGACAGTGCACATTCATTACCAGCAGGAGTTTTAAATACACCAGTTTGTATCTGTGTAGCTAATTTTCATCTGTTGTCCTAAAGTCACACTCACAAACACGCACTCATTCAGCCTTCACCTATTGCACATATTTTTAGTTGTAGAGGACACCAGAGCACCCATAGGAAACTTACACAGACACGGGGAGAACATGCAATCTCCACACATAAAGACCTGGAGGTGGAATGGACCCAGGACCCTCTCGCTTTGAAACACAAGTGCTTTCCACTGCACCATTGTGCCGTGCAACACAATAACATGGAAACAACCTCGAGACATTATATGGCACCTTTACTACATGTTTACACATTCATTATAAAGTCAACTGCTCCTTCGTTATGGATTCATGTTGTTGTGGGATGTACACAGACTGAATGTGCTCCAATGACAAAAGCGACAGTTCCTCCTCTTCAGTCCTAAATGCAGCAGATGGGTCTCGACTAACGGCCTTTGTGTGAGCGTGCGAGGATTGTTTGGTCTCATTGGAAGTGCCACATTTTCACTTACTGCTCCTACTTTCCATTTGGAGACTGAATATGCACAGAAGCCCTGCCGAGCCAAGGTTCACACTGTGCAAATTATGTGTCGGTCAATCAGAACTGTCACCAAGGCCTGGGCGGTAGACAGCACGGCTTTTTCCTTAGCAACGAGAGAACATAAAAATAAAATGCTCCGCTCACTTACTGTATGTACTCCTGATTATAATGATTTTAAAATATTACTTTCAAAATAGTACATCATGTTCAAAAGTGGGGACATGAGCACTAGTATTTGGGGCTATTCAACATGTCCATGGCCAACAGAGAATAATAGTTTGCATATTCTTCCTCTGTGCTCCATCAGATTGTTCAGTAAAATGATGAAAGGTGTGAGTGTGTCCCAAAACAGAGAGACAGAACAAGATGATTTCTTGAACATTTAAATGTATAAAACCATTATTTTACATCTTGAACATTATCTATGTGATAGGCAAGTGTAACAATAGAAGATTACAGAATACAAATTGCAAATAGATTTCCCTTATGCAGTGTGATTTCTAGACTGACATTGTGCATTATAACATTTGTGTGGCTATTTCAGACCCCTCTCTGTAGCCATAGAAACGCAGCGTGCTCTTGTCTCAAAACAAATCGTGCTGTCATTGCCATCTCTACAAACGCTGTGATCACGGCGTACGGGGACATCTCCTTTAACCATCATACAAGGATTTCCGACAGCAGCAAAGGCCCTGCAGGCTCCGCCGGTGTGAGGGAGTGGGAGGGATGAGAGGGTGGTGGTGGGGGAGGGCTGGGAGGTCGCCAACCAGCTACGGGCCAAACAGAAAATCCCTCATGCATTAATATCAAGCAGGTTAATGCCGACATGTGTTGGAGTGCAATGTCAAACTGGGATATCCTCACAGACGGTTCACGGAGAGAACACTTTGTATCCAACCACACCAATATGATGTAGAGGGTTTTTAATTATTTTCACTTAAATAGTCCTTTAAGCATGAACTGAACATCATCCAACCCTTTTTCATTTTTTTCTGTTGTTTTGAAATAAACATATTGATTGATTGAAAAATTAGAGTCTGGATTATTTAAACTGACTTGGATTGAGGTTTTTCTTCAAACAGTGCATTCAAATTTGTATTGAGCTATTTTTTGTTTTGCTTTGCTTAGGTCTGGATATTTGACATATTCACCTTTCTTCAAGCAAGTTGTTATTTGTGCTCTTGCCACCAATAAGAAATCCCTTCAAACCACTATAATATTCTGGGTCACATAAGTAAATATATCTATCATAAATACTTAAAGCGGACGTACCTACATTTATTTTTCTTGTAAATAACTCATGTTGTCTATCCTCACACAAAGAGTCTTGTAAAAATAAATATTGAACAATTCAGACCACTACATCTTATCGTTGTCACTACATTTTCTCTGCATGAGAAAGAGGGCTGTGAGTCACCGTCAGGGAGCTGATTGAGGGAATGTGGTCTTCTATTGTCGACTACTCTAAAGCTGATAACAAAATGTGCCAAAGGCCAAAACATTTAAAACTAGTGAGATGGATTATATTCAGTGTAATCAAACTTCATGGTTTGAAAGTAGACTGTCCCACCAACAATAACAGAGACCTGGTTAAGTACTTAACTTCAGGTTCAGGAGCATCTAAAGCTCTACCTACTCAAAAAAACAAGATAAAACATTGTTGAGATAGAGCTTTAGTTCACCCCATGAACATGGACATTTTTGTGGTTCAAATGGCCCAATCTCTCCTTTCCTCTGCATGGTTACATAACAGCAAATGTTGCTCTGTGTTTTAACATTAATTTACACTGACAGAAAGGCCACGCTTCTCGCAGCCTCTAAGGAGGCTTTTAGCACAATTTGTAGAGAAGACACACAATTGAGCAAAACATATTTTAGCCTAATTGACATTTCATAACACATTCTACCTTGTTTATCCTATTTATACTGACAGAAATTGTGATAACCATTAAGCTTAATTAGACTCTCAGTAATGTCTGCGCTTCAAACACTTTGAAATAATGCACTTCTCATACATAGACATGTGAAAAAATATTAGAATATGTGAAAATGTTGTTTTCCAACAAGAAACAAAATCAATTAAACACAAAAAACGAAAACGTAACTATAAATGAAATGTGCTTAACATTCCACGGCTTACCTGAGAGGCCAGCTGATACAGAAACATGTTAAATCCAATCACAAATAAGTAATAAAGTCATAATTCTGCGGTGGAGACTGTGATAGGGTTGACATGATGTGCACTGACAAACCACATACATCTGAGTCTTTATGGGGACAGGAAATCCCTGCGTGACATCTGGCCATTCGTCATCTCTATGACAAGTCTACATTGACTCATGATACATATGCACTTACTAAATCTTAATCACAGCAGCAATGGAGAGCATTTGTTTCCTCTAAGCCACAGATCACATGTTGAAACACGATTGAACCCAAGTCTCACATAACAGCAGCTGGCACATCTGGCAAAGACCACTGTTTGGGTTAGGCCCACATCTGACAATATGGAGTTTGGATTTATCATAGTGTTACATAAACATAATACCGTGTAAATTATTTGGTATGTAAGATTTTCATAGAACATTTTAAATGTTGTTGAAAGAGAAAAAGATTACACCTAATATCCAAAGAGATTAAACTTTCACTTTTAGATGAATAAAGATAATCACACTAAGCATAGACCGCACGAGTGGACAAACCCAGTGCTGATACCACCTGCAGTGTTTGCCCAATGTGGAAGAGGCCGAGTTGGACTTAAGTGAGCAGGAGCCAATTTCCTCATATGGGAATTTGTTCCGAAGGTGTTTCGAACTGTCACAGTGTGACAGGAAGATTGTTGCCCACAAATGAAGGTCAATTCTTACTGTATATGGCTCTTATCTGGACTTATAACAAAGTGTAGTGAATCACACTAGGGTCATAGACCAGATTATTTAATGTCAAAATGGTGAGAGTGACACAAAGGGTTACGGAGCTCTGGGAGTTTACTTTTCAATGTAAATTGATTGTGGGTAAATATTATCCAATATTACACAGTACAATGCGCTTTTTGAACATCCAAAGACCCTTTACACTGCATTATTCATTCACTTTGTACAAGGTTGGTGGTCAGATACTACTGTAGGCACAGCTGTCCTGGGGCAGACTGAAAAAATTAAGCCAACCAATGGGTATCCTTTCTGACAACAGCCAATTATTCATGTGCACCATTTGTGCAAAGCATTTCTGCAGCTTGGCTCCCTCAGTAGCTACAGAGGTCTGTGGGATCAGGCTTTGAAAGGTTTGGCCTGATTAAAATACACTTCATTCTTCTAATTTTGAAGAAAAATATATACTCACACAGCACCTAAACAAATCTATACAAAAATTACACTCAGATCTATGTCTGACTGACTGCAGGAGAACAGGGACCAGTGGACTCAGTTGTCACCTCCGGTCAGAAATCTAGGGCTAACTCAGACTTGCATTTTAACTGACACATCAAATCAATTACATCAACATCTTTTCATTCACCATTCAAAAACACAACATCAAAAAGTGTCTAAAGCAGACTCAGGTTAGGCTACTGTAACAGCCTGCTCACTTATATAAGTCCTGGTACGGAAATTTTCACTTTTAACATTTCCATTGCTGAAATGTTATTCATTCTGCTCTGGAGATAAAGTGATCACCAGAATCTGTGTGTTTGTCTGTTAGCAACCCCTGTGAGATTTCTTCAAGAATGGTGCGCAAAGAAGTGATTCCATTTTGGAGGTGATCCAAATTATTGTCTAGATGCAGGCTTTGTACAAAGTCAAAGAGACAAGTTTAATTTGCCTCCAATCTGCAATACTCTGTTGTATTACGTTGGCTTTCTCGTTTGTTCTACGGTTAGTGCTGTTGTAGCCTGGTCGTACCACACCATAGTACTAATTACATTTCATACTAAGGTCTGGAGGTGCTCCATTGAGCTCTGTGAACAGGTAGGAGGGGTTAACTCCTTTTGCAGATTGAAACAATTGGATCTGAGTTTACCGTGACGTATGTAATGCGCCCGAGTCTGTCGTTAGCAGTTATCATTTAGCCTAGCCGTCTCCTTTGCCGCTAACGGAGCCCGTGGGGAGTAGCGCCACAATTTTTTCCAGCGATTACATGTACTAAACATTACTCTTGCTCCGGCTTCAGTTTCTTGATAGAACCAGACCGGATTACTTTACTATCGCTTTTTTCGCCATTGCCAAACTACACCCTGCCCGTTCGACGCAAACTCTTGACATCACCCACAACTAACTACAACACCCACCACTCACTGATTTGTCGGTCGAAATTCAACCGATTGTAATCGCTAACATGGGGACCAGACCCAGACGTTACATGCAGTGAAATGATGATTGAGCGGAGTGTACGGATGGCTAAGGCCAGGCTAGTGCTGTTGCCAGTTTTGGTGAATATTTCTAAATCTAAAAGAAAGACAGACCACAGTGATTTCAGAGAAGCTCTATAGTACAAAATAACCTAAAACATGATTTAGAAAAAAATCCACCAACAAGACACCAACTTTTTTCATCTTTTTCTTTAGCTTATCCTTTGCTAGGTTAAGGAGGTAGCAGCAGAAAAGAGCCTAATGAACTTCAGTATTCCCTAATTGTAGTCTTCCTCATTGTGTAACTATTGTATTTACTGCAGACAGAACTGCCCTTTCTGCCCCACAGACCAGAATTAGCCTCTTTATAATAATCTCCTGCAACCCTACCCCGCGCTGCAGGAAGTGTTGACGTCTGCCCCACACTGCTCTATTCAAACTGCTGCAGACTGACTGGACACGCACAATGGGCTGCTTACTCTAGGGTGGTCCAATCTACGGCATCTGTATTGTTGGGAGAGATAAAGCACTTATAATAGGGCTGCGTGATATTAATAAAACATGCTATTACTATTTTGACGATTGCAATAAAGAAATACAAGGCTGTACATGGATTATGCACTGGCTAAAAGGCCATAGATGGACTGTGTTGGAAGCATATTAAACGACAAAGAGTGATAAACTTAAATAATAAAGTTAAATTTTCTTTGCTGCAGATTTGACCTCAGTGTTTGAGTGGCATTGGTCTAAGTGTGTTTTCATATCCTCTATTGTTTTAACTAGTATCTTTCATTTCCATGGCTATATGTCATGTCTTACTAAACAGATTTTGCAATATCAATAGAATATGGTGCATTCATGTGACGCCACAACATTCCAAAGAGTCTATAGTTTAAAATTGTGTTGGAGGGCAGCTGCAAAATCTATGGCATCAAAAGTCAGTCTTCTAGTCTTAGTTTAGAGCTTGTCTATAATTCCTCATTACATGAAACTAAAAAACTGTTCCACATCGTGAATGAAGTGAATCTCATCACCACCAAATTTTGATATGCAACAGATTTGTCTGAGTTAAACATGTGCACTTTATCACTTTATCACTTTTCTTAGTAACTTTTAGAATTATGCATTTGTTTATATTTGTGTGGATGATGGGGCGACAGTAGCTCAGTTGGTAGAAGGTTGGTAGAAGGTCGTGGGTTCAATTCCCACCTTGACATCTTCTCCACTGACTCCCACTGATGTCTGCTGTCGTTGTGTCCTTGGGCAAGACAATTAACCCCACTTTGCCCAAAGCCCCCGCTGAGAGATCATGGCTGACTCACCACCTGCACAGGATCAGTGAGGGGCAGGTGCTCTGTGACTTGGGTGGCATCTCTGACTGCCACCCCCCCCCCCCATACATGGATGGATGTATGGATGATGTGTTTCTGCTACTGGACACTTGAATGTATCCTACGGGGATCAATAAAGCATCTATCTATCTCGTCACTCACCGGCCACTTTATTTGGTACACCTTGCTAGTACCGGGTTGGACCCGTTTTGCCTTCAAAACTGTCTTAATTGTCCGTGGCATAGATTCAACAAGGTACTGGACGCATTCCTCAGAGAGTTTGGTCCATATTTGATAGCAACATGCAGTTTCTGCAGATTTCTCTGCTGCACATCCATGAAGCGAATATACTGTTCCATCACATAACGAAGTTGCTCTATTGGATTAAGATCTGGTGACTGTGGAGGACATGACAGTACAGCGAACTTATTGTCATGTTCAAGAATCCAGTCTGTGATGATTTGAGCTTTATGACAAGCTGTTTTATCCTGCTGTAAGTAGCCATCAGAAGATTGGTACACTGTGGTCATTAAGCGATGGACATGGTCAGCAACAATACTCAGGTGGTTTTGCGGCGTTGCAACAATGCTCAATTGGTGCTAAGGGACTCAAAGAGTGCCAAGAAAATATCCCCCACACCATTACACCTCCACCACCAGCCTGAACCGTTGATACAAGACAGGATGGATCCATGCTTTCATGTTGTTGACTCCAAATTCTGACCCTACCATCTGAATGTCGCAGCAGAAATTGAGACTCATCAGACCAGGCAACTTTCTCCAATCTTTTTTTGCCCAATTTCGACATCTGGCATCAACAAGGCATATTCGCCCACCAAACTGCCGCTCACTGGATTTAAATATATATATATATTTTTTTTTTTTTTCGGACCGTTCTCTGTTAACCATAGAGATAGTTGTGTGTGACCATCTCAGTTGATTAGAAGTTTCTGAAATACTCAGACCAGCCTGTCTGGCACCAACAACCATGCCACGTTCAAAGTCACTTAATTAATCTTTCTTCCTCATTCTGATGCTTGGTTTGAACCTCAGCAGATCGTCTTGACCATGTCTACAGTACATGCCTAAATGCATTGAGTTATGTGATAAGCAACAAAGTGGCCGGTGATTGTATATTAATTTGTAGTAGTTACTTTTACGTTGTATTACTCCAAACACTGCTGTCTTATATTAGCCAAGTTTGTAACTGTCTTTGGATGCAACTTTTGTCTACTGTAAGTTTGTGTAAGCTCTCAGTCGTACAGGGATTACGGAGGAGCACAAGAACAAACTGAAGGATAGTAACTTTTAAATGTACTGTAATGGTTTATGATTTGAATGCCTTGTATGACTTGGATATATATTCTTGTTGTGGTACCTTGAGTTGCCTTGTGCAACTCAAGGTACCACAACATTGGCCGACAGTAAACAAAAGTGTGGCTAAGCTAGAGTGTGGCTAAGAGAGAAGGCAATCTCAGTCCCCACATGAGACTTCACCTCATTGTTTACAAAAGCAGAGCATCATCAGGCTGAACTACACCACACAAATCTGCTGACAAAGAACTAACAAAATACTGTAACAATCAATCAACTTTTATGTACAGTATATAGCACAGGTCACACAGAATGAAACCCAAAGTACTTCACATTGGCAACATTTAAAACCATTTAAAAACACAATGTAAACACACATGCACAAGACGTTTTAAAAAGAAATAAATATCACACTTACCCAAGAGTCCAGACGAGGGAGATCTCCTGAAGGCCATGTCCAGCGTGTCTTCCTCCTCGCCTCACTGTGTCATGCTGCTCTGTCAGTCAGGCCGCCATGACCATGGCAGGTGGAGGATCCCCGGTGCAATCCTCAGCCGTAGGAAGCTTAGCCGCGTGGGGATAAACCTTCTGTCCAAATGGCAAGGGGAGCAATAACTCTGCATCTTAGCTTATTGGGCGCGTTCATTTAATCCGCAACAGACCGGCCCCCACACAAGAACGACAAACACGGGCCAGACTAGATAAGGCCGCTGCTAATGTGTACTAATAGAGAAACTTCTGCTGTGGGAGAGCAAGGCCAGGCTGGAGGAACCTGTGGGGTTTAGTTAATGCACTTTGGGATAAGAAGGCATTTTGGCAAGGAGAATCAAACTTACACAACCAGTGTCAATGAGAGGTTCATGCCAGGTAAAGGATAAAAAGATTTTATATTAAGCAGGATGATCTGGAAAACGCTCCATGTTCATGTAATGTTGTAGGGCTGTGTTCATGTGACATCACAGCATTCCAAAGAGTTCAAGATTGTGGTGAAGGGCAGTTGACAAATCTTAACTATGACAGCTGTCAAAACCAGACCACTTCTCTTAGTTTGTTACTTATTTATGTATTTGTTTGTTTTTTTATAGATTTTTTTATACATATTTTTTTTTATATTTTTACATCCACGAATAAACCATTTTTTACCCAAATGAGCTATAATTGTTCCAGTCCTCCAGAGCAACAAATAGTGGAATAAAGACAATAAAGCTGGAGTCTAATGGGAATTGTCAGGCGTGTCTTGTCCAGGACCACAGTCCGGAAATCCACAGGCCCGGACGGCATCCCTCCTCGTGTCCTGAAACTGTGCTCTGAGCAACTTGCCCCTGTGCTAACAGACATTTTAAACTTGTCGCTAAGGAACTGTACTGTGCCGAAGTGCTTTAAAGAGTCGACCATCATTCCAGTTCCTAAGAAAACTCCTGTGACATGCCTGAATGACTATCGTCCTGTGGCCTCACGTCTGTTCTTATGAAAACTTTTGAGCGGCTTGTTCTGGACTTCATTAAGAGCCAGATCCCTGTGAGTGTTGACCCGCTCCAGTTTGCTTACAGACAGAACAGGAGTGTGGAGGATGCCATCTCCTTTGCTCTGAACTCTGTCTACAGTCACTTGGACACTAGTAAATCTGTCGCGAGAATGCTTTTCATCGATTATAGCTCTGCTTTTAACTGCCTTGTCCCAGGTAAACTGATTGAAAAGCTCATGTCTCTCGGTTTAAGTGTTGCCATGTGTAAATGGATTTTTAGCTTTTTAACTGACACATCTCAGCGAGTGAAAATCAATGACTGTTTTTCTGATGTTGTTTCTGTGAGCACTGGATCTCCTCAGGGATGTATTTTGAGTCCTTTGCTTTTTACTTTGTACACTCACGATTGTGTCTTCCTCTGACTCAAACTTGATCATCAAATATGCTGATGACACCACCATCATCGGTCTCATCAGTGACACTGATGAATCCTCTTATAGAGCAGAGATACAAAATGTGGTTCAGTGGAGTAAAGCTTACAACCTCCAGTTGAACGCATCAAAAACATGTGAACTGGTCTACAACTTCAGTCGCAATAGTTCTCATTTGCCTGTCGTAATCGACAACTCCCAGGTGCAGATCGTGGAGGAGTGCAAGTTTCTGGGTTTAACTCTGTCTAACGACCTGAAATGGGTTAAAAACACTGACCGAGTCGTTAAGAAAGCTTGTCAGCGTCTCTACTTTCTGCGTAAACTTAGAGAATTTACCACTAACTCTAAGATTCTGCTTAACTTTTATCGCTGCACCATTGAGAGTTTACTTGTTGGTTCTGTGTCTGTGTGGTTTGGAAACATCACAGATAAAGAAAAGAGAGCTTTAAACAAGGTTCTCCGCTCTGCAAAGAGGACCGTGGGCTGTGAGCTTCCTGTTCTGGAGGTTCTTTATAAATCCAGACTTTTAAACAAAGCTCTTAGGATTGTCAATGACTCTTCTGGCCACCCTGGGAAAGCCATGTTCCAGCTTCTTCCCTCTGGCAGAAGATATCGCTCTCTGAGATGCAGGACATCTCGTTACGCTAACAGTTTTTATCCACAAGCTGTTATCAGTGTGAACAGAGCACTTTAATGATTTGCACTTGTTTTGAACTGTTTTAGTCGATCGATTTCACAGTGACATTTGTTTACTGTTTTATTTGTTTTATTTCTGTCTTTTAATGTTGTTTTATGTCTGTATTTGTCTGTGCACACTGGAGACTTTTTACTAATGTATTCCAATGTGGTTTTTTTTTTTACTGCAAATGGCAAATAAACTGAATCTGAATCTTGTCTGAATATCTCTTGCAAATGTAAAGTAAATGACAAATCTCCGTCCTACTCTAGATGCATCTGTTGTGGAATTTGTGCCCAGGCCGAGAGCATAAATAATGTAAACAACCAAGAGCTGTAATACAATCAAAGTGTCAGTTTATTTATTAGTGAATGTGCACATGTACAATGAAAAAGGACGACGTCGACCATACCACCTGCCAGCAGTCTGAAACCGTCTGCCCTGAATCAGGAAACGACCAGGCACTAAATAGAGTAAACTAAAGACATATCTACTCTAGACATAAAACAATGAAGTCATCATTGAGCTGTGTGGTTCAAGGATTCTCTCTACACTTCCTAACGCTACTAAAGCTCTGAAATATTAAAACAATCTTCTCTGTCCAGAACAATTTGTTCATAGACACAGATATGGCAGAAGACATGTTTAAAAAGGTTTCCCATCCAACAGGACAACAGATTATATGGGCTGTATTTGAATAAAGAATTGGGGATTAGTTAATAACTTACTTACTTACTTGCGACAATAGCTCAGTTGGCCTTTAGGTCGTGGGTTCAATTCCCACCTTGACACCTTCTCCACCAACTCCCACTGATGACTGCTGTTGTTGTGTCCTTGGGCAAGACACATAACCCCACTTTGCCCAAAAGCCCCCGCTGAAAGATCAAGGCTATTCCCACACTTACAGAGCAGCCATCCTCCTGTGGACTCACCACAGGCAGCTCTGACTTAGATTTAAAACCGCAGGATTTTGTAACACCATTAACAGCTCATAATCCAATGATGAAGTGAACTTGTGGTAGACCTCAATCAGCAAAGACGTGGCTTTACTTTATTTCAGTCAATCATGTGCCGTTTCAAGATATCCATAATAAAACATAGGCTTAATGCAAATCTACTAACATGTTATGGACATTGGTCATCTGCCCCTTATGGCCTGATGGCTAAATGTGTTTTCAATCGTTGCATTTCTTGTTTTTTAACTGTTTGATTATCTGATCTGTGTTGGAAAATGTAATTGAATTGTATTCAAGCTGGTGTACCTAACTTTATGGTTTCATGTACATGTAGTTATGTCTCAACAGAAAGATTCTAGTCAAAGTAAAATCAGACCACAACATTGATCTCATTAGAAAATAATAAATCTTTTGCAAACTTGTAAAAAAGATCCCCATTTTTTCACGTCTCTAAAAGATTCCCCTTACGATGTGACCTATATAGGTCAGTAACACATACATACATACTAGTAAAAGGACCAAACTGTTTTAATAATAATGATGTATATATAGTGCTTTTCAGGACACTCAAAGACGCTTCAAAGACGCGGTGGTAATAAACTACTATTGTAGCCACACCTGCCCTGGGGCACACTGACAAAAGCGAGGCAACCAGTACGTGCTATCGACCCCTCCGACCACCACCAACCATTCACACACACACCAGACTCATGTTAAGCAATGTGGGTGAAGTGTTTTGCCTAAGTATACAAGGACAGTTTGGCACTTTACAGCCACCCCACTGTGGCACCTGGTGTTACCAGAGGTCTTCCATCACAGTGCTGACCAGGCCCTGCCCTGCACAGCTTCAGAGGTCGGACGGGATCTGCTTTTCTATTGGCCATGAACTGTATGCCTTTTGTTCCTCATCTACTCATACAAACTGAAATCAATGTATGAAAGCTAAAAGGCAGTGTATGTCTTGTATATCTCTGGCCAGCTGCTCCTCACTGACTAATTGCCCAAGCCGAGTGTAACTGATGCTAAATACAGACATTGTTCGGGCGGTGTCTGGTGTCCTGTCAGGGAGACTATCTGATGTGGTCGAGTGTCAGGCTCCTGAGCACATCCACTGCCTACTCCGTTAAATATTTAGGCCGGGACTTTAACAAGGTGGTTTTGTAAGTGAGGAAACCGCCAACAGGTCAAGTTCTGACCAAGACGGGTCACTGAGAGGTCATTGAACATGTGGTCAGGTAAGAAAATCAGTTTGAGCCACTCTTGGTCATAGAAGTGAGTAAGAATTAAATATTCATTAAAATAGATACTGTATATATAAATATATATAATAAAGACACTTTTGAATACCGGAACTACTATGTAAGGGTGGAAAAATCTTTTCAGTCTCATACTGAGAAGATCTCTTTTTTTCCTTGTGTGGTCTGACTATAACAACATGTAATCACATCAAATGCATACAAAATGAGATTGATATTGAGGGGAAATTAAAAGAAATATATTAAATTGGTTTGCTTCTCTGAGTTAGTACAAATTTGTAAATCAACAAGTTCCTCTTTAAGTTTATATCTTGGTTAACCTTGCTTATTTGCATATCCTACTATCTTATGTACATAATATACAGTGTATAAATGAACTTGCCACTTGATTTTGACTCTTTGGTGTCAACTTGATCCCACTTTGTTTAATGCATCCAGTGCAGAGGTATTTCACAAAGTTACATCAGGCATAAACGTCAACCATGTGCACATCCTCTCTGATAACATAAATGTATCATTGGGCAGATGTAGATAAAATGTTAGATCCATAAATAGTGTTCAGCTTATGCAGGCTTTAAACACACCAAAGTGCATGAGTCCCACTCATCCAGAGCATTATCATGTCATATGAGGACTAAACCTCAGGATGACATGTAGAGGATGTGAGATGCAATCATCATGTCCTTATTATGATACAGATCAGGGGTCGGCTGCCTTTATTATCAAAAGAGAGATTTTCCTCTTCTTTCACCAAAGAGGAATAGTCAATTTCCAGAAAATGTAAAAAAAAAAAAGACAAAAAGAAATTGCACAAAGTTATGATTATGATTATATTATTAATTATTACTATTATTTGATGTGCCTGCTACAACCATGGAATACAACATAAATATCATGAATAAATAGGATATACCGCAAGTGTACAATGGGGTATATTGTGATGCACCACAATGCTACAATGCATCGTTGAATAAATATTATAAATATTTTTAAATTATATGTTAATTAATTCCAAAGAGTACAAGTGATAATTTACACTGGGGCGACAGTGGCTCAGTTGGTAGAGTATTGGCCTTTGAGCCTGAAGGTTGTGGGTTCAAGCCCACCATAAGACTTACTTCACATCTCCCATTGATGTCTGATGGCTTTGTGTCCTTGGGCAAGACACTTAACCCCACTTTGCCTGAGACCCCCCTGAAAGACTAAGGCTCCTGTGGACTCACCACCTGCAGAAGGATCAGTGAGGGGCTGGTGCTCTGTGTACTGGGTGCAGCTCTGACTGCCACCTCCCTGACCCAGAATTAGATTAAAGGGAAGAAATTGGATGGATGGACAAGTGTAAATTAGACATATAACAGTGGTATAGTTAAACGCAGATGGAATTTATTTCTTTACAGCAGATCATTATATTTTTTTTGCAAATAAAAAGATTAGTGGATGTTTTTATCCAATCCTCTTTACTGATATGTTCACATGCAGGCTAATGAAACTTCCTCAAATAAATCCATTTCCACTTACAGCATTGAGACTTTTGTTCCCATCCAATTAACCTGCAAAAACCAGGTCCTGAACCAAACCTGACCTCTGCATGTAAGAGTGAAATACGAGAGATCAAGTGGACTTTCTCGAAGCAAAGCAAAGAGGAGCAAAGTGAACACGTGGACTCACTTGACGGATTTCCCCTGCTGACTGATCTGGTTCAAGTCTTCCTGGACAGACGCTACAGAGGGAATCGAAATAAATCAATGCTTGCGGCTCCATTCTGGGACGTTCTCCTCCCCCGTGATCGCACACACCTGTCACATGCCATTCTGGGAAAAAGAAAATGAAGATGTATTTGTGGAAAGAGACCCGAATAAAATGTGACAGAAAAAAGCATGAATACAGAGCAGTGTTGGATGCATAGCTGTCACATATGGTATATATTCAGGCCTATCAGTTAAATAGTTTGGATGCAAGCCATTATTTTTCATCCAAGTGCAATGTTTCACTCAAGATATATGCTTCTGTGGTTGTCTTCTATTTTCTGATAACCTCCCAGCCAATCCTATTCATATTTTTGCTGCCTTGTTTAATGCAACATGTGTGAGATTTTTTGAGAGCTATAGGCCTATAGTATTTGCTCATAAACTTGCAGCTTCAGGCTATATACAATCATGTTAGTGTCTATTGAAATGTTCGGAGCGGCGACACATGCCCACCCCCTCACACAACTGCACAGCCAGCAATGAATAGTGAAATGGTTTTTATATACAATGACTTGTTGCAGCTCCATTAAACACATTTCCTCTGCCTGCCACCCCCAATTGAAAATCAATAAGCAAATTCTGTTTCTTTTATCAGAGAAATTATTTTATCAGGCATTTATAGTAAAAATGTGCATGTTGGAGACAAGTACTGCATTCTGAATATGCGTGATTTTATTAAAACACCTTTACAGTAAAACAAAAAGTGCATGGCTCCCACGGAAATATATTTAAAGGTATTTTTTTTTGGCTCTTTCAGGTAAAAGTTTCCCTATCTGTTATAGATCGATGTTAGGAGAGCTTCAAATATTAAAGAACGCATTCAGCATATTGTTGTTTTATAAATGATGTAGTTTTTAATTCCCAGATGTCCACGTTGACATCATGAATCTAGATTGACATACATACGCGTCAGACCTATATGAGAATGGTGGAAAACACCACCATCGTGTGGACAAGTACAGCAAGTACAACCAGTTTATTGCAAATTAAAAGTGGGTGGCAGATTATGATTGTTTTTTGTCTTTTTTTGTTGATTATTTTATTTTGTTTTGTACATGATACAATGAAAAAGTACAAAGATGTCAAACCATATAGTTATTAACTTGGACCAAACCATGCTCTCAACAAAACAACATTGTAACATTAGATCCTCCAGTGGTGCCACTGTAAACATACCAGCACTGACCAGCAAGTGCTAACTGTCAATACATGTTCCATACATTAGCAGAATTTTCCAAATGCATCCCAGTGTTTGTCAAACATCATATAAGTTAGGGCACTTCATTTTCTCACACCAAGGAATGTCTGATAACAGGAAAATGTCATGTTACTGTTCTACATCTTGTAAAACATTTGAAAATATGTCACATTTAATATAGTAGAAATTGCATGTTCTTCTGTAGATTATCCACCCTGAGGTCAAACAAAACAAAAGTTTAATATATAGATTGCAGATCAGTAAAATGATAATAGACAGAGGTGTTTGGAAGATTTTTTAACCAAACATTACATTTTGCATGTTTCTAATAAACTTAAAAAAGCTTTATGCCTCAGTATTAGGATTGATTTGGCAAAATATGTAAATGTGATATTTCTGATTAACATTAAGATGCAATTTTTGATATCCTTTATGTTTAAAAAGTTCATTTTGAGTAAAAATAACAAGTTCAAGGGAGTTCCATTTGGGAAAGCGTATATATGAAGCAATCACCTCATGCACATGTTTATAGAGCTCTAACCTGTAGAACAACCATTATTTGAAGTAGAACTGACCAATTCAATGCAAAATATACATTCATAAATGTTTGAAATATTTTTGACAAACTTCTTCAGTCAGACCAGAGTTGTGCAACACATTTTGTATAAATTATGAAACATTGGGCTTATATTTTTTTATAACATCTTTGTTATATATCACTTTTCATTTGCAAATATGTTACATAATTGCAATCGTTGCGTTTTGCTATTAGTAACCATGGAAATAGCCATTTATCAGTGTGCCATAACACTTTTCTCCAAAGTATGACTATCTTCTATTTCACCTCAAAAATGTTACATGGTGTTGAATGCAAAAATATTTGAATACACTAAGACTGTCACATCATCATCATCATCATCATCATCATCATCGTAACTATAAGACTATACTACAAAAAACATAAAACTTGGACCTGGATTTCTCCTTGTCGACAGCTAAATCCTAATTGGACCGTTTTTCCACTCCTTGCTTAATGCCCAGCACCAGGTGGACAAACCAGTTGATCTGAACCATCCAGCCTTTCTCCCTGCAGATATCGATTTGGTCCATCAGGTGGCGCTGGGCCTCTTCTTCACTGCGGCCCACAGTGAGAGCCTCCCGGATGTACTCAATGTCTTCTTTACTGGTCAGCTGGGGCATTCCTGAGAGAGGAGATAAAATGTCTCCATTAAAATGATTATTATTTGAGATTTATCACATTAAAAGTTTTTGGCCGGCCCGAAAGAGGTGATGGGTTGTTGTAATACAGTAATATGCCCATAGAATACTCAAGATTTTTCATCATAAATATTAGCATGTTTCTAATAGATAAATACTTTTCAAATTGGAGTGGCTATATGCGTGTCTGTTGCTCACATCCACCCATGCATTTAAATTATATATATATATATAAAAACGCACTAATACATACAGTACAATTGCAAAGGGCTTTGTTCAGGAAGCTGCTCTATAAATAATAATAATAATAATAATAATAATAATGTGCTTACTTACACATCATTTTAAGAAAGTAAGCAAACATCTTTTTAGTTGTATTTGGACAAACTCGTTGCTTCAAATAAGGTATTCAGGAGGATATTCCCAAATGTTTGGAAAGAACCTCTTTCTTCACTTTTTGAACAAAGCAATAGTCTTGATGATCCACCCGGAAGTAGAAAATCCTCCTTGTTTTCTTAGTAATAGTCTTAGTAATAGTAATTTTAGTTAAGTTATTGTTTTATTTTTCTGTAGGAAACTAAAAATACAAATAATTTGTTTTTACATACTTTTTACATTGTTTTTTGAAACCTTTAATAATTATAGTCCTTTACCAAATGGTTGCAGTTTGATAATAAAAGTTCCTAAAAACAAGTGAGATGCCCCAAAGAGGTCCATTTCAGTTCCAAGCTTTAGATATACTGACTCAAAAGAGGATCTAACAAATGGTTAAGGAAACCATAAAAGGGTTAATGAAAATTCTTTCCATAATTTCCAAGTACCACACTAGTAACACCCTCACCTACCACTAGAGGTCTCTATACTACCTTTCGGGAAACACTGTTCTACATTACCAAGTTAGAACAAATCATGAACCAGGAACATCATACATTTAAGTAATGAGAATAAAAACAAAACTCTACATACCGGTCATAAGCATCATGGAGAAGAGGATGATGAGGAGGTTTGTGTGGTGCCGAAGAGCGAGATAAGCCTTTACGCATACATCCTGAAATAAGTCAACAACAGATATAGAAATACACAAGACATGTACGTAATTAATCAGTGTCGCAAACAAAACCAGCACCTGGAATTTGAGGAAATTTGGGCTGCTTTTCTTGCCGGACGTTCCCATCACGTAGAGAAAGTCTGGTGTGAGCACAAAGGGCACCCACTCTTTACTGATGCCCATGAAGCTCTTGTAGTTTCCCAAGATGTGGCCAAAATCGATGTGGAAGAGGTTTCCTGCCATGAATAAGTGCTAGGGTAACAACATGCGCCGCAACTCTCAAAAGCACCAAACAGACAAATGTGCAGACCTGACTCGGTGATCATGATGTTGTCGTTGTGGCGGTCTCCAATCCCCAGGACGTATGTGGCCACACAGTATCCTCCACAAGAGAAGAGGAACTTTTCCACGGCCTGCTGGAACTGAGAGAACAGAATCAGTGAATGTATGTACTACAATCTAGTTTGTAAAAGTCTGTCTGTAAAATGCGCTATATAAATAAACATTACTTACTTACTTACTTACTAGTTGGAATGGAAAGACCAGGTTACTTTGGTATTTTAGGGTCTAGAATCTAGGGTTGAAATATCTACATGCATGTGTAGAAAATATATGGACCAGACATCACGGCAAAGATCAAGAAACACTCTACTGGTGACAGTTTGGATTAAAACAAGTATTTTAAGCAAAATAAAACATATGTAAAATATTCATATTTTAAAATATGAATGGCCGGTAGGTAAGCACACAGTCACAATTAGGGGTCAACTGATTAATCACTTTTACAATCAAATCGGAGAATTATGTCTTGATGGGTAATTTGTAAAGATATTTTCTCCGATATTTTTTATTTTTTTAAGCTTATACGTTTCCTTAATACGTATAAGGTTTTAAGGAAACAAAAACATCTAAATATATTAAATCCACTGTACTGTATAAATCAAGTGCAAATTATTGTGAATGTCACTGTAAATAACTGTAAATATACCACAGACTAAGCTAAGCTGTAGCAACCACATAATTAAAGTTAACTCTAATTAGAATTAGTTAATTTAACTTTAATTTAAAGTCTTAACTTATTCCCTCTCCTTGTCAAGCTGGATTTTTGTTAATAAAATAAAGCATACTGTATCATTGCATATTATCATGTTGTTCTTGTTTGCCATGGCTCAAAATAAAGTATTTATCCATTCATTCAAGCTATGAAACTGCAGAATTCAATTGTTGATGATCCAACTGCAAATCCACCATTTTAGTTGTGCAATCCGCATTTCATGTTAGTAGACACAAATAGTGATTGAAGTGATATACACTACACTTCAAAATAAGTCTTGTGTTATATGAGCAGTTGTGCAGGTGTTGGTGGCTTAAAGTAGAGTCTGTAAGAATAGCAGTGTGGGCCGCTTCCTTCCTGTCTGTCATTTCCTCTAAATTAAACAGCAGAGAGCTCCAAACCCTGCAGAACACATAGTCTTACCTTGTCCTCACAAATGCACTTGTCCCGGAGCCACTGGCACAAGATCTCATCCTTAAAGGCCCCTGTGCTGCCCACCACGCTCTGCTGAATGTTAGCGATGGTGGTGGCATCTTTCACGATCTCAATCATCCCTATCAGAGAACACCACATCAACATGACTGATCGGTGAAACAGAAATGTCCGTCTGTTTACGGAGTCAAATTGTGGAATTCTTTAAGTGTGGAATTTAAATGTTGTACAAGTGTTTACAAATTCAAAAAAATGTACAAAGACAAAATTCTGAGTGATTACGAAAAAATTTAAAACAACTGAAGTGAACTGTAAGACGAGCTGTTTTGTTATGTTTTGTGACCTGGTGATGAGTTGGGGTATAATGATGGGGATTTCTGATTTTATTTTGTAAATTTGCTGATGGGAACAGATATTACAAGATTAATCTTCATTCTGTTCCTTTTTGTTCATGTATGGATTTCAAAAAAAATGGTGTAATGGCCTGACATGACATGAGCAAATAAATAAATAAAAAAAAAATTTATCTTTATTTTTTTTTATTTGTCTTATTGTTTTTATTTATTTATTTATTCTTTTTAAATCGGATAACTAGTATTTTATTGTTTTTATCACATGTTTATAGTTTACTGGTATTTTATTGTTTTTATTCAATTTTTATTGTTTTTACTTTGCGCATATTTAAATGTGTTGATTTTATCTCTGTGCAGCACTTTGGAAACTTGTTTTATAAAATGTGCTATATAAATAAAGTGGATTGGATTGGAACATACTCCTCACCATGTAGTATTGTATAACTACACATAACTTTCAACAATGTAAACTATGACTATGTTTACAAAGCATAGGAATACTGTAAGAGTATGTATATTTTCGCTTCAAACCGGTTGTTGTTATGGTGTGGATTAATTTTTGTATTTTCTGTTTTATTTTGACGTCTGTTATCTCTGAATTAGTTCTAGTTTGACTTCCTGTCCTGTTTCCCCTGTCTTGATTGTCTGCCCCGCCCTGATGTGTTTCACCTGTGTCTGTTTGTCCCCTGTGCTCTTCTCCCCTTGTTGCTGGTCCATTGTATTGTCAACGTCTGTCTTGTTTGTTCATGTCTTCAGTCTGTTCCTGGTTATTTGGGTTTTTCAAGTTCTGTTTTTTACCTTGGACTTTATTTTATTAAATCATTATTTTGGCATTCTCGCATTTTGAGTCCTCCTCCTTCCCACCACATGACAGTTGTGTCACTTTCAAAGAAGTCTTGTAACTTCAGTGTAGCAGTCAAACTTGCAAACCGTAATCGTAAATACTTATATAAATTGTATAGGCACACTTATGGCAAATGTAATCACAAATCACACATCTTATTTACTCTGAACAATAGGTTTTGACACCTGCTCAACCGCAGCAGCACGAGTCATTTCATTTTCACAGCTTAATTTCTTTGCCGTTTCCCAATTTTGACTCACGTAACAAAAGCAAAACAATGATCAAAATGAGGGACTCACATATGTAGCCAAATACATTTCTAATATAAGAATTTTTTCGCCATGCGCTCCTAATTGAATCTGCTGGCCGTGTCTTCTTCTTCTTCTTCTAATTAATTCCGGCAGGCTGTACGCTGGCGTGCGCAATGCTGCCCTCCACAGTTATGAGACCGTCAGTACTCTAAATTCTCAAAAAAGTGCCTGTGCGGCGGAGGAATAAAACAATGGCTCTGTTAACTCCTTGAGTGTTTTCACGATTTGAAAAAAATTGACTTAAATGAAAAAGAAGTTAGCCCCAAATCAGCCAATTCCACAAATAGTTGTTGTCGTTCCCTGGAGTATTTGCTGCACGACAACAAGACGTGAGAAACAGTCTCCAATACCGACCGTGTCTCAATAGGGAAGTGGTTTACGTGGTTACATGCCAGCGCAACCCAAGTGGAAATGGTGTAATGTCACACCTCAATAGGAGCACACAGGTTTACACACGTCTTAATCAATACAAAATAAATTGGACATTCTTTGTTAGTGCACTCTATAATTTGATTGATTGGGGTAAACCAGATATTCCTGGTATGTGCATCCATTTTTTTCTTAGCCAACAAACAAAACTATTCTACTTCTTATTAGCTATGTCCATTGTCCCAGACTGACCTATCCTGTTGCCAGTGGAGATGCAGCCGTACGGTAACAAGCAGAGATCCAGGGACTCGGTCTCCCAGATGGACTCCATGATGAGCAGAATCTATAGCGACAGTCAAGAATGAGATAATGAGGGTTCAACGTGATGTAGACCCTGGAGATGCATCACCTGTAGAATGAGCATGTCCTGCCTGAGGTCGTCCCCGTCCTTAAATATGATCCCTATGGAGTCTTTGCACAGAGTGGTAGGGTCAGCTCTCTTGAACTGGAGCCACAGGGGCTTCTTCTTGGATGCCATGACTTTACACTGCTCAATCTGCAAATCAAAAATTTAAATGCAGAATGTGATGAAGACCAAGAACATAGATAAGATAAAGCACATTTTAGTTTAGGGTGCAGAACACAATTCTGTCCTCAGTAATTATCTTATTTATTGTTTATTTGGTTGGGACAGTACGTATGTTAATGAACACATCACTCCGGATTGTAGCCATGGGCTAATTTCCATCCGTTGTCCCGAATTTGCACTCACAAACACACACTCATTCACCCTGAACTATTGCACATGTTTTTAGTGGTAGGGGAAACCGGAGTACCCGGAGGAAACCTACGCAGACATGGGGAGAACATGCAAACTCCACTCAGAAAGGCCCTGTTCCAACCAGGATTTGAACCCAGAACCTTCTTTGGTATCCACTCAGCCACCGTGCCGCTCTATGACACTCTATGGCTCATTATTCAATTTTTTGTTCAAAAATGTTGTTATAAAAGATAAATTGTGCACTTCCTTTTGAGCACCACAGAATGCCCTCTATAGAAGCAATGTCAGGACAACAGGGCCACATCAAAGGCTCCGCTCTACCGCAGTGCACCAAGTTGCAATTATATTTACTCCATTAAGCGAAAAAGGCAGTGCAAGAATGGTGATTCAGTAAAGAAATGTGTCAAAGAAAGTTAAAACTTTTTTGATCAGGGATTTTTATACATTGACACTTGCTCATTGAGTGGCTAGTTTCGATATTAGTTCTCCGGCTTTGTTGATACATTTAACCACCCTCTTATCCCAAAATTGTGCCATATGGATGTAGATCAGAGGTGGAAAGTAAGTAAGTAATCTTTAGTTATATGGTGCCTTTCACAGACCAGAGTCACAAAGCACTTTACAGTTGTTGTGGGCATTTGTCAGGAGGCGGATACTGGCAAATTCTCACCAGTAAGGCTCCAGCCCTCAACCCCGGGTCATAAGGGACTCTGAAACTGGTTGGTAAACCTGACGACTGGAGCGCCTCCAGCTTCTGTCGGAGCTGAAACACCACTGACAGAGACATACTGTTATTTCATGAACTAACAGCATGAAGGTGCAGGGTCATTGTGGCAGGTCCTTACCTTGAGCGGTGACATCATACTTGTCTGCGGACATAGCCTTAACCTCACGCGTCACTTTCTGCAGAGCCTCTGTCATATCCACCTGGAAACCAAAGCATGCTACATGAAAGCTGGGGTAACCATGATTTTGTGTCATAAATACTACATGTTGTTTGTCACAGAAAGAGTCTTGTGAGAGTAAAATGCTGTCAACCATCAGGTCACAACATTCTATCTTTTGCATATTTGTCGGAAAGAGCCCTGTAAGTCACTATTTGACTTGTTGAGCAGATGATGAGGGATGTCCTCTCTTTTCTGTCCGAAAAGGCTGCTCTGAGGTCTTTTAAAAACAAAACCTGAAGACCTCCCTGTTAAAGAAAGCCTATTCGGACTATTAGATGTACTTTGATGTTTTTTGTTTTTGCTTTTTGATTTAATTTAATCTGTAGAAATCTGGGGAAATGTAGAAATGTTTTGTGTTTTGAAAGGTTGGAACTCCAGCTTTAAGCTATTACAGTCGCTTGTTTTTGAAAAGGCAGTTTCAGTTCAACAATTGTGATTGTGATTTCACTTTTTACTTGTATTATGAAATAAACATGTACAGCTTTAAGTGAATGTAAATGTTATTGGTATAGTTATTTGTTATAGTTATAGTAATTTCAATCATGCACTAAATGTACAGAATATTTCACCTGTTTCTTAAAATCGAGGAGCATGTCCTCTCCACAGCCCCTGAGATAGGCCTCCAGCAGCACAGCGTACCTCTGCTGATAGTGCATGGACTGAGCAATCTCACTGCGCAAGAACCAGAACAAGAAATGCCCAATTCGCTTACTCTGTATTTAGGAAGAAAAAAAGGGGAATAAAAATGTGTCAAGATTGAAGAATAAAAAGATAAATATACTTATGATAACGTACCCGAAGAGCTCTTTTCAGTAGAAACCTGACCAGTGCACTGTTATGGTACGGCTCAAACTTCACAGCCTAAAAATACACAAAAAAAGGGACAGATACTTTTAATTGTCTCATTTTTCTTACTGATGCACATGTCTCCTTGTTTGTATTAAACACATTTTTCACTTTTTTTATTTTACTGTATACATGATGGCCACTGTTCTGAAAACTGAATTACACTTTGGGATAAAAGTAGTTTGATTAATAACTAAGAAAATACAAATAAATAACTAAATGATTCCATGGCAAATAACCATAACAGACAGGCACTGAATTAGAAGACTTAGAGCTTATCAAGCGCAATGTGTGTGAGATGTCAGTGCAGATGACTGATGTCAAGAAAAAAATGTAAATTGCTCTTATCGAATGAGGAGAAATTATTGAAACACCTGTACAAGCTGGAGCAGATATCGGAGCACGTCGTCGTCCCCCAGTGTCTCCAGTTTCCTCACGGCCATAGAGCGAACCTGGGCATCTGAGTAGTGACAGTCCAGCAGCTGCATGGCCAGGCCCACATCCAAACCACTGCCAAATCATCAGCAGAAATAATGCACCATAGAAAGAAGGGATCTAGCGATTTTAACAACAGACTCTTAACAATCTATAGTGTGCACCTAGTGCACTATAGTACACTGAAGACATTTATGTAGAATTTTATTTATGCATGCCTTCTTGTTTTTATTCTGATTTAACTTGTTTACACCGAGAGCCAAAGCAATTTCCTAGTTTGTGACTTCCTGTTACTCACATGGCAATAAAAGGATTCTGATTATACTGTATTGAATATTGGCACCGATATAGAGTTTGTTGTTGGTCGGGTATCAGTCAGACACAGTGGTACCATAGTTACAACAATTGAAGTGTTTTTGTGGATCAGTGCATCCCTAATAGAAAGAGACTGTGTCCTTACCTTGTGTCCCACGCACTGCTGCGCTCCAACAGCTGATGTGTTGCCAAAACATCTTCTTGTTTACCCCACCGGACTGAGCCCAGTAACTTTGGGTATGCCCTGAGAGGAAAAAACAGTTTGCTTCTTATTTTTTTGTGACACTGCAAACTGCATAATGCATTGAAATTAAAATACATACTGTACATACATACATATTTAAATTTTTGACTAATATCATATTATAAAATGTCAGCTTCTTTGTTCAGGCTTCCACAATCTCACCTGGGATGCTTCATACACTCGTGCCTGAAGTGCCACAGCAGCTCCTTGTCCTCAGGGCTCAGTGGGTGCAGAGGGTCAGTGCTCACTATGGCCTCAAACTGTTTCTTCAGGTGATTGGGCATTTCTCTTTGCACTCTCACCCCTCCCTCCCCCTCCTCTTCCCCAGCCTCGCGCCCCACATCCCGGGCTGTGTCCCGGCTCTTGGGCAGTACCACGGGGTAGCAGTACTTGTCCAGCAGGATAGCGACGGCCATAGACGAGGTTTTGTCGGGGTTTGTAGCAGAGGTGAGTTTGTCTGCGTTGATGCTACTGCTGCTGCTCTCCAGGCTCTTCTCAGGCATCTTCCACATGTGCAAGATGAACTCGCCCTGACGCAGCAGCGAGCGGTGGTCAATGAGGAGCAGGTTTACGTAGTACAGCAGTCGATTCTTGGACTTTCCTTTTAAGACATCGCAGAAATAAAGTTTTTCAAGTTAAATTCTAATTGTGTTAGTATCAGTTCAATCAATCAATCAATGTTTATTATGGAGCGCTATTCCTAAACTGAGGTAACACAAAGTGCATCACAATCCACATCACACAAGGCACAAATCATCAACACATGTAATTGAAAAGATTAAAACATTAAAATCAAACAAGGCGGGGAGAATAAATAACCACAGTGCATTAAAAAGAGATAAAAAATCCTTCGGTTAGGGTTAGAAGAACTGTTTTTAACCTAGATTTTAACACTGTTAGAGTAGACGCCTATCTCTCATTTTCAGTAAGACTGTCGAAGATTTTAGCTGCATAAATCTGAAACTCTGCTTAGTCCTAACTCTGGGCACCAGCAGGAGACTGAGCCGGTTTCGCGTGGCACCCGCATGGTACGGATTTACTTTGGTATGATTTCAGAGAAGCAGATAGATCAAATTGCACAACATTACTTTTTCACGTTAAAGGTCCCATGCTACGCTTTTCAACTTTTCTATGCTTTAAACATTATCAAAGTGCTATCTGGTCTTCTTACACATGTCCAAAGTAGTTTTTTCATTGATTCCCTCAAGCTTTAGGCATCTCTCCCGTTCATTCTCGAGAGGCAGCTAAACGCCTAGATTCAGTTTGATGGTGCAGAAGCCCGCCTTAGCATTGATTGACAGAGGGAGAAATCAAAACAGACACACCCACGAACGTGTCTGAATCAGCACATGCAGCTTCTGTGCCGAGTCCTCCGAGTTCCACAGTCATGGGTGTAATACTACCACAGTCTCTTCACTTCACATCCATTTCTATTGTTTTTACTGTTCAGTAACCTTATACCACAGTTTATACGGTCTAATGAAGCTGTACTTTAGTGTCTTGTGCTGTAATAATTTCTTCTGCATTTGACTTTTTACGATTTACTACTACTTTTTTATCATTTTCAGACAAATACCTTCACGGCTGGTTGTCTCAGAAGCATTGTCCTGGTGGAAAGTGCCAGTCTTAGAGTTTGGGGTTTGGATTTGTTTCCCACACACAACCTTGTAAAAAAAAAAAAATAAAAAGGTGAGAAGGTGTGTAAACTGCAGCCCATGCTTTATATAAAAAAACATAACGAGTTTACCTGGAGGTTCAGGCGTGCCCCTTTAGGTAAGTCCTTGATTTTAATGCTAAACTCCAACCAGCAGTTCCACAAAACTTCCTCAGTGAAAGGCTTTGAGGCGGTTCTTTCCTGGACAATATATTGAATTTACAGAAGTTACAAGAGGAAAAGTCATGTGTATAAAATTATGTTGTAAAAAATTGTCAAAGTAAGAAAAAATGACAACCAAAAACTTATAGACAACATACTTTTCTTGTTATAGGTTTGTTCCCAAGACAAAGATGACATACTTGGCATATGTAGCTTAACATTGTGACGAAAAAATACAATGGTTAACTTGAATAACACCTGGGCAAGGAGCTGCTGGCCATGGAAGATGCTGGCCTCGATGTAGACGATGAGCTCAGAGGTTTTGGGCAGAGCTGGAATGTCGATGCCCAAGATCTTCACTCTGAACTTCCTGTTACAGTCCCACATGGAGATGGTGAAGACTCGCTCGTGGTCCTTCTCACTGATGGTCAGCTGCTCGTGTGTGCCTTTTTGAAGGGGACATACATACATACTCAAAAAGCTATTCAAAAAGCTAAAATAAATCCGCTACTTGCTTGTACTTTGTTTTGACTGTGTTTGCTGTATTGGACAAAGTGCTAAATTCACCCTTTTTTCCATTTACAGACAGGAGAGTTTATTCAGACAAATGTGGATACACACTTCAAGATTCTTAGAGGATTTTAAGTCTTGCACATTGATTAGACCACAGACTCACTATATCAGGATATTTTTAAACAATTGTTTGTCTCAGTCGTAGATACCACACACTTAATTTGCAATTTCAGGAAATAGGAAATGGCTGCATCCAAATTCAATAAAAAATTCTCTCTTGTTCATCCTTGTTTTTTTCATTGGTCTTGGAAGAGTTAAATTCCTGCAGCATTAAATAGGAGTATAGTGGTATGAAGGCATTCTCAATTTTCCACAGAGTTAACCATTTATTTTTGTCCTGAGGTTATTAGTCTTTTTTGGTTCACATGGTAGATGTACCTTGATAAGAACAACCTATAAAACTCTGGAATTTTTACATGGGCGATGCCTCTTTGAACTTGTGGGGTGCGAAATCAGTGCAAAAACACCTTTTCTGTGGCAGGCGGTTTGCATTTAAAATCCATTTTGAAACCATATTTATATTTTCATATTTATATAATTATTCCTTACAATTGTAAAAGAGTGTAATCAACATTTTGTAAGTTGGCCAAAATGTTGACAAATGAAAAATGTCATGTCAGGTACCAGCAACTCCAGTGCAATCATCCACTTGGGCCCAGTCCTCTTTCTGGACCACGTCGAGGTCTGGATCTGGGGGCTTCTCTAAAACCAGGTGGATTTCCTCCCCGTTTTTAAGACACTGTCGCACCCACCTAAAGTTCTGCAGAGGTTTGTCCCCATACAGAAACTCTTCCCTGTGGCACAAGAATACATTAAGATAATTTTGGATAAAGTTTGTAAAAGAAATAAATGGTGAAAAGAAAAAAAGAAAAAATAAAGTAATGGAGACATGTACCTTCCACAAACTCGCAACACAAAGTCATTATCACTCCTGTCTTCAGGGATGCCCAATAGAGCTTTCTTGTTTGCAGTCTTGGCAAAAAAGCTGGAGAGCACCTAGTATAGATCGGGAAGATGTAATAACCATGATAGACACCAAAGTAAACAGCATAACATTATATAAACGCAGTATTCAAAGTGATCATACCTGATCTGGTGTGTCGTCAATGGAGACTTTAATAGTTTGACTGACAGTTTGGATGTGAATAACCAACAGAATAAAACCATTGCTGACCTAAAATAGGAAAAACAAATTGTGGAAAAAAGGCTTAATACAAGACGCTCTCCATCTTGTCTGAGATACAGGTGTTTTGTAGGGACAAATGGGCAAAACTTCTGATCTGTGAAAAGCTTGAAGACCCACAGCCCAAAAGACAAATCTGCAGTGAATTCAGCAAAAGGGAGTTCACTAAAGTATTAACTCGTGATGTATGAACACTAGAGAAAGCCCCACTGTATATTCTGTTACTTTGCTCTGGTGTTTGTTTGTGGTTGTAAACATGACAACATGTGCAACGGTTGAAATATTACCGTACTATGAAATGTACAGTACTAATACACTACTACAAAAACACTTTTGTATGAGACATTTAGCACTTACATGCTTAATATTTATTTCCTATTGTAATATGTATAAGATCTTTGAAAAACATGTGAAATAAGACCAATGATTCTAATCGTTAATAGTGGATCCCTCTAACCTTGATTCAGAAACATTCCTGTTGAAGGATCTGCCATACTTGTGTTCAGATGGGTCTTAAAGCTTTTCACAGTATGTAACTAGAAACAACACACAAACTCATGTTTGTATTCCTTTGTTGTGTCTTATTATTTCCGCCTTTAGAGACCTGTTCTGTCCACTTTACCTTACTAAGTACATGTTGGGGCAGTGGTTTGCAGGACACCCAGGGGTCCATGCAGTAGAGCCTGGGGTCTCGGTCTCTCAGCTCGATCTTGCGTGTGGTGAGCAGCTTCCTCCGGGTGAACTCCAGCTCGTCGTCATGCACGTTACTCACATCAGTGACGTCATAGCCCATCAGGCGGTTCAGGTAGCGCTGGTACTGAAGGGACTGCTCCGTGGGCTGTGGCCGCTGCACCATCTGGATTCGGCCAACATCTTTCTTCAAGGCTTGAATGTTTATGTTGTATGAAGAAGACAAAAGTGCTTTTTTATTCACATTTACAATGCACAAAATTAATGGACAAATTAAAGATTAATATAAATGTTTACATTTATTTAAAGCCGGATTATCTAACTTTTTCTGTCATAAAAACATTTGTTGTTGTGCTTAAGCAAAATTTTGTAAACAAATCAAACCACAACATCTTATTAGAAAACATTGTATCTTTTATATACTGAGAGCTGCATGACAATGACAGAGTAAAAACTCTCTTTTTCACTGAAAAAAACTGATAAAGATGTGACGGAAGGCAAAAATACACGCCTTTGAAAAGAGCTAGGAATTAGTTACATGGATTGTATTACATTGCCATCTTTCTGGTTTCAAAGTGATGTTGTTGCCAAATAGTGCTCTGTGTAAGAATTATAGCCTGTCGCTGCTGTTGCTGAATAATGAGTGTCAAAGTATCTACTTCTAGACCATAATTGTTTGCCTCTATCAGCTGTACAACAGAAAAACTTGTGGGTTAAATATAAACTTGTAAACACATTTTTAGTTTAGTAGGCACATGGTTGAGCTTGTACCTTTCCAGTAACGAATACAGTCCAGTGTTTGGAAAACTTGGTGCTTGTCATAGATCTCACACACTGTGCCTTTCTTCTGGTACAAGAGGATGCAGTGATCGGGAGAAAACCTCTGATAAAACTCTGGACACAGATTTGAGGTCACTGCTTTCAGCCATACCTGCGCTTTGACCTGGACAAAAAAATAGAATATACTGAGCAGAGGGGATTTACTTCACTTCACTTTATTTCCCGATGGGGCAATTTGGCTCACAGCACAGGGACACATAAAAAAAAAAAGACATAGCATAAACAATTATCTCTTCAAGTAAAGAAAAATGTCTTTTGAATAATGTCAAGATCACATTTGACAGTCACAATAACACAACGTATAATATTTCCATAATTTATGGTTCCAATGAGAGTAGTTTGCATATGACATAATATGTTTGCCTTGGGCAACCTCGTCAGCTTAAAATATGTTTCTTCTCTATTTCATGTTAAATAACACCCCAATCCAGAACTACAAAGTTTCCCAGAGAGAAATGCCACACAGATTGTATAAATATACCCATCTCTTTTCCAAGAATGACCAAGCTAACACCGCTTCACCTGCTCAACAGTCCAGTTGCCGGCCACTTGCAGCTGCAGGGTGTCTGGACCATTCCCTCCACGGGCCACTGTGGGCAGGACAAACTCCACACACACCTGGTCCATGACCATGTGGGACAGAGGGCAGATCTTCCTCCTCCTATGTCTGCGGTCGTGTACAACAGCTGCCTCTTCGTCACTCAGTTGCTCCGAGTGCTCCTTGTCCATCACCCAGCTGCACCACAGAAACAGACCACTAGCTATAACAATGTCCTGAAGTAGAAGCATTTGGAAGACGTTAGGGTGTTAGGATTTGTAGTTTTAAGAAAGCGATTTGTGGATTACATGCCTTATTTGTTTCTATAAATACATTTTGTTCATCCCAAAAGAACAGTTTTAGTTTATGTTAAAAAAAAATTCTGGTCAATTTAGACCACAACCTGCTGTCTTTATCTTATCAAACATTGTATTTAATATATAGTATACTGAGAGCTGATTCGCTTTTTTCCAGCCCTCACAAACATCCCATGTTAGCACTTGTTTTATCTACCTATTAGCCCCACTTATTATTAGTATCGAACTATTCACATTCTCTCTTTTGATTTATGAGCACTGAATACAATGTTTCTCTTGTAAGAAGAGTGCAATGGAAGAAATGAGTGTGCTTATATCAATCACTTATATCAATAACTCCAAAGCCCATACAAGCCCTGGACACAAATAAATATCACATAAGTGCAGACACGCAAACTGTTTGTAAGTTAAGGAAGCGGGGATATTTGTTATTTCGTCTCTGTCACATCAGCAGGGGAAGTTTCCAAAAGCAGGAAGCAAAACTCGGAATGTTTGTAGCAAAAACAAGTGCCCCTGGGTTCCTGACATAGTTTTTATCACATGGAGTTAGCTGTGTGGTTGTTACTAAGCCAGGAGTTGGGTGACGACTCGCAGAAATATGATCTGTAAAAATAACGGGACAGTGCGAGGCAGCAGTCATGTCAGACAGAATAATACTAAAACACTTTATCCACCTACTTACCCAGACTCACGGCTGGAGACGGCATTGAGACCAGAGGCGTGGAGCAAAACTAGACCATTGACATCAAAACTGCACAATTACGATCAAAGTTTTTGACACAAGTGTAAAAGGTCTGTGGGGAGGGGAGGAGGGCAGGACTATTGACAGGGGAGTGTCAAGCTCCATCAACTCCACACGGTACATCCGGCTGACCAGCCGTCACTACACTATCGTCACAATAATAATAATAATAACAATAATAATAATAATAATAATAATAATAATAATAATGATAATTCAAATCATCATCAACATCCTGTCTTTTCTTCTTTTTTTTTGTATTACACAGAAGTAGAACATTCTAGTTAATAGCTATAATATTGTTAAGCTAACTTTCAGGGGAAAAATATAATCTATATTATTTTGGCCTAATTTTAAATCTAGTATATTTCAGTTACACATAACCACATAACCAGTTCTTTGATTCTTTGTTATTGTCACTAGATGGCAGCATCACTATATCTGACTTTAGTGTGTGTGACTCACAGATCCATGCGCTCACACATACACAGTCTGTCACACGGAAGCTCAGTGTTGATCAGCCGACATTAAAACAGGGACGTGCAGTCAGGGGAGGCAGGGGAGGCAGAGCCTCACCTGCCGTTATTGGAAACTAATAATTATTTTAGTTTAAATATATAATTTATATCCACTGTCCTATGCTTTTAATGTATATTCGGCACGGTTCCCATCAGTTTTGATCATTTCTGAAGTCAAAATCGCCGAAATCCCGTTATTCCTATTCAAAGAGACGAGGTGAGGCAGCGCTCCTGCGTGCCTCACCCCAGACCGCTCCCTCACAGTGTGTGTGTGTGTGTCTGAGTGCACTCAGCTCGTGCAGTTGATATATCACCGTTTGTTTCAAATATCCTGCTTTAAAAACATTTTTTAAACTCCTCTTAGTGTTTAGTAGTGTATTGCACGTATGTGTGTACAATTTATATTTAGTTTAAGTCTTTTGATCGTAGATGAACACACAAGGAAAAAGCTTGGCGTGAGGCAGGCGGTATCTGTGCCTCACCGCTAGGGGTGATAGTGAGCATAAAGTTCATACCAGAGTTGCTAACAAACAATCAGCCCAAAATGCTATTTCTTTTGCTGGAAAATGGATGATTTGAATGAAGATTTTTTTTCTCAATTGGACTTTCAAACAAAGAAAGAATTAATATAGACTGGGAGACCACCACTGGACTTACGAGGTTAGTCCGGCTGCGGGGGAGGAGTTTGTTAATCTGTGTTTTATGTTGAACATTGACAGATACCGGCAAAGTAGTGCTTTTCCGAAAAACACTGATTCAAACACTGCTCAAGAGTTCTGCAACTTGTTTAAATTATTGTTTATGTTCCTCGCGTCTCTCCTCGCGTCTCTCTCTGCTCCTCTCTCCTCGCGTCTCTCTCTCCTCGCGTCTCCGTCTCTCTCTCTCCTCGCGTCTCTCTCTCCTCGCGTCTCCGTCTCTCTCTCTCCTCGCGTCTCTCTCTCCTCGCGTCTCTCTGCTCCTCGCGTCTCCGTCTCTCTGCTCCTCTCTGTCTCTCTCTGCTCCTCGCGTCTCCGTCTCTCTGCTCCTCTCTGTCTCTCTCTGCTCCTCTCTCCTCGCGTCTCTCTCTCCTCGCGTCTCCGTCTCTCTCTGCTCCTCGCGTCTCCGTCTCTCTGCTCCTCTCTGTCTCTCTCTGCTCCTCTCTCCTCGCGTCTCTCTCTCCTCGCGTCTCTCGCACCTGCGCTTCTTAAAGATGTTGTTTGATGCGGAGCAGAGTCAGCAGCTAGATTTGTTGTGAGATTATTAAAAGAAGCTGGTTCTCTTATCTTTACAGTATATAAAGTTTGTGGATGTCATTGCATTGGTGATTAAATGCTATTTTATTTGCATAATGATTGTAAATCTGACTTTTAAAGTCAGTGCCTCCCCAATCACAAACCTCACCGCACGTCCCTGCATTAAAAATAATGTAATAACACGAAAGAGACAATGATGAATCACAAATAAAATATTTTATTTAAATATATGGCTGTCACATGTTAACTTTCTTTTTTTTAATCAACTATTAAGAAAATAACTTTCACTACAAAAAGAATCATTGTTGTGATGGTTGTACAGTGTGACAATGGGACCTAAATACAGTGCATATATTTAGTGTGTGCATAGTCCTGTGCAAATTCAATGCCATTTTAACATGAACAATTTTTAAGAGGCCACTCAGGATATCACAGGTGAACATTTAGGCAGATGTCCTTGTGTTTCCAAATGGCTCCTGGTCTGGCTGGACAGTACCTGCTCTGCAGAAGACAAAAAGTACTCAGTCCACAGTTGCACCTCTTTGCTGCTCTGTCAAAATGGGGACTGCAAAATTATCAAGAACTGAAAAGTTCTTACCGTGAAAACACAATTTTTACCCAGTTTTAAATGTAGTTATTTACACAAGTTAGATGTATGCAGAGAATTGTAAGCTGGAAACTAGAATGGGTGGCTCCTCAACATGCCTTTGTTCTTTAATACATACAATAGAATACAAAGCTGCAACATGCAGCGTCCTAATAAAACAACCCAATGTTGTAATCGCACACAGACCAAAAGAAAAGAAAAAAATGACATGCTGTATACAAATTGACAGACACCATGAACACGATCAGGTTATCAGTTCTGTACAATACAAGAATATATTAGCTCTTAGATAGATAGTTACAGGCTGGATAGGCGTCTCATACAAAAGTGCTTCATGAATCAGTGTCTAAAGCTTTAATTAAGTCAAAAACCACAATCATATTCCTTTGTCACTGACTATTAAAAAGATAAATAACTGGTTAATCAAATGTACAACCAGTTAGCATTAATCAGGTCTACCTTCTAAATCCACGTAAGCTTCCAAATTCCAAAGATTTCGTTTTTTTACTAAACATTTATCCTGCCTCTGGATGAAGTGAGTCTGAAATCATTCCATTAAAACTTTTTTCCTTGGAGCCAAACTAATGAAACAAATATGTGTGAGTATTGAAGACAGGTTTATGATGTTTTTTTCAAATTTATTTTTAGTTAGACCCAAAAAAATCTGTTCCGTCCAATAAATGGCAATAAAATGAAAAAGAAAAAAAAGTCACTTTTGGACTTGGATCCTTTGCACTGGTCCAGCTGCCAATAAAACAGTCTTTCACATCCAGTCCTATTGCTGTTACTGCCAGGGCCGCTGCGGGGCGGGGTTGGGATTAGGGTACACGGGAGCGAGTACGCCTGTGTTGGGATGAGGCGGGTATGTTGGGGTGGGGTACTGGGGCATCATTTGTGTCTGACCACGGCTATGTCCCGTGGTGTGAGACGGAGTCGAAGCTGCGGAGGAGTGGGGCAGGTGCATGTACTGAGGCACGATAGGGGCAGAGGGGGCTGAGGGAGGGGCTGAGGGGGCAGTGGGCGTCGGGACCCTCTGCAAGACGACGTGAGGGTACAGCTGTGAGTCTGAGCGGTACAGGCCAGAGAGAGATGTCTTCAAAAGACTCTCTTGACTCCTGCAAGAGAGAGACAGAGACATGCTTTGAATGTTTCTATAGACAAATGACATTGGGTATGAAGGAACACGTTATTAAAATGTGTCAAACACAAAGCAAAATCTGGCCTTGAACTGATTTTAAATTATTATGAATTACTTGCAGGATTGATGGCCATTTGGCTACTATGGCATGTTACACCTTCTTTTAAGGCTAATTTAAAGACCTGCAGGACCTCTCCTTCACACATCAAGGCTGAATAAGTCTGTCACTGAAGCTGCTCTCCAGAGCATACGGAGTGTCCTGCAGGGGGCGGCAGTCATGGTCCAGCATAGATGTTAGTTTGTCCAGGACCGTCCTGTCCCCCACCTGCTGCACTGTGTCCAGGGAACAGCCCAGGACTGAGCTGGACTTCCTGATGACCTTGTCCAGCTTCTTCCTGTCCCTCTCTGTGATGGTGCAGCAGGCTCCAGCAGACCACACCGTACAAGATGGCTGATGCCACCACAGAGTCATAGAAGGTCTTTAGGAGTGGCCCCTGCACTCCAAAAGACCTGAGCCTCCTCAGCAGGTAGAGTCGGCTCTGCCCCTTCTTGAAGAGGGCATTTGTGTTAAGTCCAGTCCAGCTTGGGGTTCAGAGCAACGCCCAGGTACTTGTAAGAGTCCACTCTCTCGATGTCCTTTCCCTGGATGTTCACTGGAGCTGGAGTGGCAGAGTGACGTCTGCGGAAATCCACCACCATCTCCTTGGTCTTCCCCGCGTTGATGAGGAGGTGGTTCCGCTGACACCAGTCCACAAAGTCCTGAATTACTCCTCTGTACTTCGCGGCATCGTCCTCGGAGCTGAGTCCGATGATGGCAGAGTCGTCAGAGAACTTCTGTAGGACACAACCGTTCGTGTTGTGTCTGAAGTCCGCAGTGTAGAGGGTGAAGAGGAACGGCGCGAGGACAGTTCCCTGGGGGGCCCCCACACTGCAGGTCAGGACCTCAGACACAAAGTCCTTGGTTCTCAGAAACTGGGGTCTGTCTGTGAGGTAGTCCAGGATCCACTCAGACAGGTCGCAGTCCACTCCAGCTGTCTCCAGCTTGTCCCTGAGAAGCCGCGGCTGGATGGTGTTGAGGGCGCTGGAGAAATCAAAGAACAGAATCCTCACAGTGGAGCCGGGTTTCTCCAGGTGGGACAGCGAGCGATGAAGGGGGGAGATGATAGCGTCCTCAACTCCGATGCCCAGAGGGTGGGCAAACTGCAGCGGGTCCATCGCTGAGGTCAGAGTGGAGCTTTATGGGTTTAAATTTGTGTCCATCTTCTAAAAAGAGTGCATCAACTTTCAAGTGAATAAAGGATAATAAATGCAATATTTGGCGTTTCCACCACCCATTATGCAAAACTTGTGCATTACAAAAAAGGGGATAGAAACAGTTTATGACTAAAAATGCATAGTTTATATAGATGTTGTATAATGACTATAACATCCCTCTGTGCTGCCAAGAAATATAATATTTAATGTAATATAACATTTTTAAATGAAGCCTGAGAAAAACCTTGGAAATTAGCCCCAGACCCCGGCAGCAGGCTCATGTTTCAATGTGGCCCTCAGGAGGAAAAGATTGCCCATGCATGCTCTAGTGTCATTGACCAACTATTTCACATTTCTCGTTTGTTCAAGTCTAGAATTGGCATTTAAATGTGAGAATGTATTTGACATACCTCTGGTAGCCCCGGTTCTCATAGCCAGTGAGTCCTCCAGTCAGGTAGAGGGGGCTGTCTGGAGCCAGGCGTGGGTTCATCCTCTGGGACAGGTGGAAGATCTTTGGGGGTGCAAAGGACTCCCATTCTCCCTCCTCTCTCTCCCATTCAGAGCGACGGGACGACCGCTTCTCTCTGCGCCTGCATGAGACAAGACACAGAAGCTCATGCATAAAGATATAGAAATAAACTCACTTTCTTTATATCATACAAATATTTAATTAGAGAAGAACATATTTGTATTCACATTTGTTTTTGGGATGTGCAAAGGACTTGAATAATTGCATTTTGTGCAATAGCTCTTTTATAAAGCCTTTTGAGAGTGCTACAGATAAACTTATACACCTTGTTGAAGGGACAGTATGTCACATTTTCATTTAAAAATACTTTCTGTAGATAACTTGTATATTCATATTAAAGTTTTTCTAAATGAAAATACAATGGACACGATGTCCATGTTACTTCCTGTGTCACAGACAGGAAGATTCTGGCAACAACAGTTGGATTGTAATGTATTGTAATGAATTTACCTGCACATTGAATGTTTGTTTGATTGAAGTGATAACTGACAATCTGCATTACCTAAGGCGTCCCTCCTTCTTGGCCCGCAGTCTGGACGCTCTTTCCTGGAAGCAGCAGATGAGAAAGGACAGAGACATGGCCAGGATCACCACTCCGCTGACCACTGAGGCCAGGACAGCCACCCGGAGCCCCCTGTCCTGAGGCCTGGGGATCGCTGCAGAGAAAAGACACTTTATTTATATATTTTTGCATTTGAGATATTTGAACAATCTAGAAATATTGAGCCTAGAAAAAATGTAGGGAAGGCCAGCTGAACAACTTTGCCTTGGTAAGTGGCAAATGTCTCATTTCTCATGTCTCTGTTATTCCTGGACCAATCCACATGAAATAAAAGCTCACAAAGTTCCACATTCTCTTTGTCTCCACATATCAGCAGACGGAACACTCAGACATGATGTGGAAAATTTGGAAATCAGACCAATGACAAATAATGATCAAAACATTTCTTTCATAATGCTTATTTTCTATAGAGTTGTACTGCCACATGCCCTCCACCTGAACTAGAATTCTACAACATGAACCCAACCTATACATCTGCAATTAAATTCATACAAGATGGATAGGTGACTATTCAACAGGACATTCCAGGCCATTTCAAGCAACACATTTCAATAATAATCATGAAACAAATCCAGTTATATTCGCCCATCTCTTCTCTCCAGAGGTTTTCTCTGGTCTATTGTTGAGTTCCCAGAATCATTTGCGTGTTCAGAAGTGTGTGAAATGTGGCGTGGAGTTCATTAGCGCTGCTCCACAAACTGCTGCAAATTTAACGCACAACTAAACAAGAGGAACAAAATGTGTAATGTGCTCGCTCTGAACCGGGACATGAGCCTCACATCACGGATACATGTGCAGTACTCAAAATTCATAAAGCAATTAACATGACATCTCAGACCTGCTGGCAGTCATGGCAAACCACCAAGTGAATGAATGAGAAATCACGACTGAACATTTAGACTATATGTTTGGAGCAGGGTTTGTACCCGACTTGTCCAGGAGCCGGCAACCTGGTTTGTGAAACTTCTTGACAATATTCAGTCTGTGCTAAGCTTTACTTTCTCACCAGTGACATTAGCGCCATATAAAAAATAAATAAGCTGTAAAACAAAGTCAATCACAGTTCTTTCTGGTTACGTCACAGATTTTCTGCTTCCGGGTGGATCATCAAGACTATTGGTCCTCCCATTTGTCAATCATTCTGGTGATATGTGCTCGTCAAAATAGACCAGAGAGTTTTATTCGAAAAGTGGAGAGGGCGGTTTTTTCCTTAAATTTGGGAAAATCCTCCTAGATACCTTTTAGTATGGCACAACTCTGCACTTGAAAATAATATATGGAAGTATTTAATTGTCTGCTCCATCCAACCTCTTACTGAGAAGTTATGTTTGTGCAGGTTTGCAAGGAACAATGTAACAATCTCATTAAGTGTCTAGAGTAGAATAATCGCAATTTTTTGAGAATGTTCTTTTTTATCCAAAGTGCATCTTGGCTTGGGTAGACCTGTAATGAGGACCCTTTGGCCCTGTGTTCTTTAAAAGGCAGCCGCCCTAACCTGATACGTACCCTCTCCTCTCTGTGAACAAGAATGTGGACTTTCCATGACGTGTTAAAGTGAATGTATTTGAGGCGGGTTTGTTGGCCAGTATTATGTAAGGTACTGAATTATGGATTACCAAAATACAACTAATGGTCCATCATTCAGGCGGATTCGCAAGTGCATATTCTGTGATGGCACATGGGCCGCACCTTCACACACTGGCAGGTAGTTGCTCCACTGTGCTTTGCCGTTCTTCACATTACATTGGATCTTGTCACTGCCCACAAGCTGGAAGCCATCCCGACACCAGAAGGCCAGGACACTGCCCACGGAGACACCAGTGCCCCCCTCCACGTAGAAAGACCCTCTCCGCGGGGGAAGTACTGGGCTGCATGAGAGACCTGCGACACAAGGAAGAACGACAGCTAAAACCGAGGAAATATATTCTCTACACTTAGATCTTTTCTTTTTATTAATTTTTTTACAGAAGGATAAAAATAAAAATACGGGAGAAGCATTGTGATCTTTATTTTGAGAAATAAAATGAAGCCTTTTTTATCGAGTTAAGTTGTGAGAACTCAGCAGGAGAGATCACTTTCACATTGTTTTGCATTGTTTTTATACTTTCCTCTTCTCCTCTATGTACAGTACATGGAGCACCAATTACCGGTGCAACTACTAATAGATTTACGTACCAGAAGAACACCTCTAAATATCAATTTAACATTATCGATATGGATTAATATTTGTTCTTAATTCTGTTGCAAATTGCTAACACAAATAAACAGCTAAATGAACGCAAATATTGTTTAAAATTCCATATTATAATAAAATATTAAAAAACCATATCATAATAAAATGTTAAAATACCACATTATAATAAAATGTTAAAAATAAAAAGCCATCCCTGCATATACATGGTTGGTGTCAAAAGTCATCCTTGTAAATTTGCAGGGGAAAAAAAAGTGGGCTATTCATTAATTTGATATATATGTCCATAAACCAGGTTCTTTTATTTTCAAAATCATGACATCCCTCTACACTGCTCCATTCTTTCTATTAATGCGTAGTGTATGTATATGCTCTTTTCGAGGCACGCTATACAGTGAGCACATACAGTATGATGCACATATCAGCCCTGTCAGGTTTGCCTTGCTGTGATCCCATGTGTTTTCTCAGTGGGACGTTTCCATTGGCCGGACAGAAACTGCACTATTTTTATCATCCTCACACAGAGAGCTCTCGTGATGCAGGGATTAGTCAGACGGAAATCACATCACACATCCAACGGCAACAAAGTATGGCACTGTTATTTTCTGCAACGTTGCACTAATTATCATGCAGTCATTAACATACACAGAGAGGCTATGGAATGCTAATTGTAGCTGATAGGGCAAAAAGCTTAGGTTACAGTTAGGTTGTAAAAGGCTTCCTTACATTTGTAAGGTTTGCTTGGAAAATAAGTACTGACAATAAGCAAAAAGGAGACAGTGCATGTTCAACGCAATAAAGAGATAAATGAAAAAAACATGGTCACCTTTTCACAGATACTCCCTGTAACTTTATGAGAGAAATAACTTCTTTGACTTTATAAACTTGTTATAAAACAAGACTGCATTCAATGTTTTTTTTAGAATGAATGTTACCAATATTTTAGCTTCACACATTTTCATATACTTTAACATAAACATAAATATGACTCAAAAACTTTTTGACAAAACTAGTTTTGTCATGAGTTTGGAAGATGGCTAATCTAACTTGTCTTTCAAAAGATCCACAAAAAAACGGTTTGAAAACGGAGTTGGTTGAACCCGATGATTATGTTGACTGGATGTTATTCCAGTCTCCTCCCATACAACACAGTACAATGTAATATAATACAAAAACAATTAAATATGGTCAATTTAGCAAAACACAGTTTAATATATACTATACAGTTCATGCAGCAATACAATACAAAACACATCCCAAAAATAAAATGTTATTTTGCTATCCCAGTGGTCCTAATTGCTCATTATTTGTAGAAATGTGGTGTTTGTTCTTGCCCCGTGAGTTAAAAGGGGCAAACAGAACAAACATCCCAGTGTGTGATTGCTCAGATCATGCCCTTGTCTCTGTGACTGTACGAGCACGTGTCTCTCTGTACGCTCCGAGGATGTGCCATCTCCATGTCCTCCGCCTCTATCCCATCACTGCTTCCCCTCGCTCCCTTCTCCCTCTTCTCCCTCTGAGAGCCCATCATGTCGCCATAAAATCAAAATAGCCATTTGAATCTGCACACTCATCAGATCAAAAGGACTGCTTGATATTTAAAAGTGAATAATGTTCTTTGTAAATACTATAGAGACAATTATTAGTGGTTTAGGCCTATGGTTATGAACATGTTGTATATTCCTGTAAAAAGGCTTACAATGAACATAAAAATAATACTATTTGAACATACCTTGAAAATCTGTTATTCCATGCTTTCCAGATTGCAAAATTCTCCCATATTAAGTCTATTTTTTCATTGTTAAATATATAAAATAACATTTTGTTTCCCCTTCTCAGAGAGAGAGAGAGAAATTTAGGGTTGTAACATAACTTTTTTTTTTGCCCTGAAAAAGCAGCCCAACCAGGAATTTTATTAAAAAAATGTTAGAGCAGACCCAACTCCACCAAACCATCCACAAGCTGCGCTCGGATCTCGTCCTTTCTGCTCTGTTTGGAGTACAAAATTTCAATATGCTCAGCAGTTGCTATAAGGTCTTTCTTTTTTCATTTGTTCAACTCCTCAAAGGAAGGCTCTTTCACGAACGCCTCAAAGCTGAACACCATTTTTGAAGAATGCCCAAATACAATTCACCTTACCTTGACTTACCTAATTACATGACCACTTACAGTTGTCGGGAACGTTTTAAAGATTCTGGACGAGCCCCCAAGTTATGTTACAACCCTAAACTCTGCTCTGAGAAGGGGAAAGGAAATGTAACAAAAACAACCAGATATAATTGGAAAAGTAAATGGCCTTTTATTCTATACGGCAGAAAAGGTAACAAGAGTACTGAACAAAACTTAGAGTCAAAAGGAAAACAAAAGTCTTTATCTATAGGTGCGAAATCAAAGTTCTCTTAAAGATCTCGAAAGGTCACATAAGGTCACAAAAGGTCTGTCGATACGGTCAGCTCTCCCAAACACACAAGAGTGGTGCACTCGTACTGAAACAAGCCGCCCCGTCCGGACGTTGCACCACTGTTTTATTGGCCGCCAATGCTTCCATCTACACACATCCATACATTGGCGGTAAGAACACAGCCTTAGACTTAGCACTCAACATTCAGAGCCGTAGTTGTAAATAAAATCTTGTTTACGCATCGCCTTGTTCACTCTGATCTAAAATGCATCTGCTTGCTGTGTCTCATTAGTATCCAATACTACGCAGTTGAAACAGTTCAATCCACAATGCCAATCAGAACTGAATTACACAACTCAATGGGAGTACACCAGTTTATATGCTTTTTGTTCAACCTAATTAAACTGGAGTAGACGAGGGATCCGGTTTTCCCCTGGGCTTTGTTAACGTCAGTGCTCCTGGACTTTCTTTCTTTATTCTGGAGTCCCGTGAGATCTTCATCTTTCCTCCTTTCATCTCCCCTTCACCCCTCCTCTTTCTCGTCTGTTTGCAAAGAAATCCTCCATCTGTCCCAGTTAACGGGACAGCTTGCATGTTGCAGAGTCTATAATACCATGGCCCCTCTCTCAGATTACTCTAAATCTGACACAGCATAGTCACTGCTGCAGCAAACTCACGTGAACTGGAACCACAACGGCTCAAGGGATTATCTGCCATGACATAGTTTGGAATTCAACTTTGGAAGAAAATCATGAACATTTGGTTTTGCAAGATGATTGATTACAAAAAATAAAAAATAAAACAATGCGCATCCTCTCACAGCAAGTGACCTTTGTTATAGACATAGACTGCATATTAGAAGTGGATTAACCGAGTGCTGGCCCTTATATGGGCATTGCTTTGACAGGGTAACCTACTGTCTGGAATTTGTTCTTTTCCTGCAAATTAAGGTATCGGATTGGCCCATTCTTATGACTCAAGAAATATAAACATGAGGATCATAGAGTGCTAAACCACAGTTTTTTGGCCCAAAATAATTCTATGTAATAATAATAATTAAAACACACTTATATTTTACATTTTATTCCTTAGAAGTGTTGCTGATTTTTTTATTTATATTTATATATATATATTTTTTTTTCATTATGCCTTCTCTACTCTTTACCTCTCTTTCTTACTGTTGCACTGAGCCGAAGCAATTTCCAAGTCTGTGACTTCCTGTTACTTCAGTGGCAATAAAAATTATTCTGATTCTGAAAATGGGGAGTGTAACACAACTGGTCACTGAGCTAGATGAGTTTACTTTTCAAATTTCAATGTAAATGTGCACTTTATTAATCCCCATTGGGAACCTTGTCCTCTGCATTTGACCCATCCTGCAAATGCCACTAGGGCAAAACTAAGTCCATGAGCACTTCTCTATTGAGCTACAGGGTCAGCATTATCCATACAGTCTATAATGATCAAGTTGGGACACACTTTAGTGACATAGCATTTGGATCGAGTTCACACTTCTTAACTAAAAAAGCTATCTCTGTCGCCAACTAAATGAGCATGACGGAAAATCTGAGAGTAAAGCTGTGTGCTCACATTAGGGTCTTGTGGAACTGCAATTCAAAAATGTTTTTTAAGTGTCTTTAATTGTGTTAACGTGCATTCTGATTCAAGCAAACACACAACAACACAGGAGTTATAAAGTAAATACAATGAAGGATGGTCGTCTCATGTCAAAAGACAATCAACACTTCAAGATGACCCTCACCAACAGATAGTATTCAAGCCTAAGCCCCATAAAACTTCAGTGGTTTCTGAGCCATCCATCCACCGTCTGCTCTAAAGGAGAGCGCCGGGGGAACAGCTCCAGAAAGCGTGGTCCCAAATCAGCTCTCAGTTTTAGATCTGGTCATAATATCTGTTAAATTGGGTTTTGGGGGATACTCAATAGCAGTAGTAGCAAATGGCATATTGCCTTCTACACATGAAAATATATAGTCCCCCTCCCTGTCCTTTGGGATATATTTTAATTCCCAAAGGATCAGCGCCAGTATCCGTCGCTATAGCACCAGAGGCTTCTGCACGTGCTCCACTGAGAGAGACCTCACTTATATAAAGACAGATGAAATATTGAAGACATTACGTGATGCTGGTGCCCGAGGCCTGAGCAGAGATGGTTTTTGTATACTGTTGTCAAGCAAGAAACTCCCAAAAGCCAACCGTGGTTACACCTTCATCTGTGTACAAGCAAACAGAAATATAATTTAAGTAAGTTATATTAATTTTCATATATTG